AAATCAGTTCTTGCTACAGTTTTACCCATCTTAACAAACATGAGTACATAAATATTATGTCTTTTCTTATTTTAAGATTGAAGGTGCCTTTGTTCAAGGCATTGGACTTTACACAATGGAAGAGTTGAAGTACTCTCCAGAAGGAGTCCTGCGTACTCGGGGTCCAGATCAGTATAAGATCCCTGCTGTTTGTGATATTCCAGAACAGTTTAATGTTTCCCTGCTGTCATCTTCCCAAAATCCGTATGCCATCTATTCATCCAAGGTAAGCAAATCATCTTAGATCTCAGGACAATCAGAGAAATAAATACAGAAAAGTATGTCTATATATGCAAGATATGAGGTTGGATGTCGTGTGTTCCAGGATCCTAAGAGAGCTGGCTCGTATGATTGCCAAGCCTCTCTCCATCATACTTGAAAATTCACAGCTGTTAGGGTGAAGTCACCGACGACTAGAAAACAGGAAACAATCACTCCCAATTATAAGAAAGGGAGGAAGGAGAACTCAGGGAACTACAGGCTGGTGAGTCTCACCTCAGTTCCTGGGAAGATCATGCAACAGATCCTCCTGGAAGACGTGTTGAAGCACATGAGGTACAAGTCAGGTAATCTGAGACAGGCAAGATTACCAACAGAAGGTCATTCTTGACCTATGTAGTGATCTTCTATGATGGAGTGATGGCATTGGTGGACAAAGGGAAGGCAACTGATGCCATCTACCTGGATTTCTGCAAGGTTTGACATGGTTCCCCTATGATGCCCTTATCTGTAAATTGGAGAGATACTGATTTGAAGGGTGGATTGTTTATTGGATTTGGAATTGGTTGGCAAGTCGCAGCCAGAACTTTTCTCAGCATAGCTTTCATGGCTTACAAGTAGTAATTATAGGGTTTAGTTAACAAGCTATTCACAGAAGTTGCAACGTAAATTTAAAATTTTTACATCAGTGGTAGACTGATGGGTTAGAATGAAAATAATCAAGAAATTAATAGAGAATGATAATGACTGTGAGAATATGTGCATTGTGTTAAGCAATGAGAAATAGGAATGTATATGTGTACTTATATATGAGATAAGCTGAACTATTCAACTGGTAGAATCATTGCTTCAATTTACACCGGTAAATATTCTTGTCAGTTGCAAGTAGTAACAGCATATCAAGATGAAGGCAATTGTGCAAAATTTCAGCTGTTTCAGATATTAGTTATGCTTTTAGAATTCAGTAGAATAGCATGACAGGAGTAGGAAACATGTTTTTAAAGTAAAAGTTATTAAAGAACAAGTAAGTCCTTTGAAATTATTTAAAGCTGTCTTTGTGACACATAATTAGATTTATTTTTTTAATATTGTCTACGTTATGTAGTTACATAGTTGATTCTATAAAACTGATGCTAGTATCCCTCTTCAAACACTTTTTACCCTTTCCTGTGAACATCTATAATTACCCTAAGAATTCACTGTCTTAAGGAAGTGTGATTCTGTCTTCATGCAGCATGTTTGGGGAAGACATTTGTTTCTCAAATCGTAGCAAGCAGATTGCAATTGCAATATCTCAGTCAAACTCAGGTTCAGATATTCAGTATTTCAGAAGAAAGTGTCCAGAGGAAACATAGATTTTTACCTACTTTTGCGATAAGGAACAAATGTGACTCATGTCTGAATCAGTAAGAGAATGTAAAGACCACTAAGGTGTTTCCTTGTCTATGGTGAATTAGTGTGAGTTCTGACTTTTTTCTAATCTGTTCCTGCTACTGGATTGAGAGTGCTTTAATTTAATCTGTCACTTATTATAAATTTCCATTCAGCAATAAGGCAAAAATATTTTAAAATCACAAGCCAGTATCTGAAGCCAACCTTTTTTGGTCCCTGGAAGCATCCAGCAGCAGCAGACTTGACATCACCTAAGTCTGCGTATACTAAATTGAAGAAAAGCATACTAAAGAATGAAGTGCTTTGAGTCGCTATCATCTGAGCTTTTCAATTGATATTGCTCTGACATGTATTTCTCATTTGCTCAACCTTTTTTTTCCCAGGGGTTAGGTGAGGCAGGACTTTTCTTGGGATGCTCTGTGTTCTTCGCATTGAGGGATGCAATAACTCGTGTGAGGAATGAAAGAGGACTAAAAAAGACCTTTGCCCTGAACAGCCCTCTGACTGCTGAACAAATACGAGCAGCCTGCACAGATGACTTTACGAAGATGGTAATAGGTAGGTGGGGGGGTGATCTGTTTAATTATGTCTGAGTAAATGTAACAAAATAAGCTTTTGGCATCTCTGAGTGGTGAGGTGCCTAATGATGTTCCGGCTGGGAATGCGTTATATAGAGCAATACCATAGAGCCCTTTCCACTGAAGGCTCCTTCAAAACTGAAATATTTGGTAACAGGTCCCACACAACTAAGTTGTTCCAGCAAATTCATTTCAAGCATTGTTCTGGAATTATCTGATTTTGAATAATCTTTCTTTCCCTTTAAAACATTTTTTTTTTCCCCTTCTCTTCCTGAAGCCTCCTCTTTTCTTCTGCATGGCAAATTCCATAGCCGTTCCTTAAATAACTTGTATTACCAGTGTGTGCTAAATAGTAGAGCTAAATAGTAGATCAGTCTCTGAGCAGTTCCATCCTCCTTCGAAGTTTCCCACCAACTTCACTCTGGCACTGTTACTTCTTTGTGGTACTCCTTGCTATGTCCAGAGCTCTGTTGGAGAAAAGAGAGCTAACAAAAGAATACAGAAGAAAAACAAATGAAGTGATACACTTTCAATAATTCTAACCCTTCAGATTCACTGTTTTCTGCAGCTGTTCACTGTTATCTTATTCCCACTGCTGTGGCCATTCTTTTTCTACTTAGATTTAGATTTAGTCTATAAAATCTGTGAAGCAAAGTTCTGGCCAGTCTATGCTTTGGCACATCCAGGCTGTGCCCCAAACCTTTGCGGCTTTGGCACAGAAACTTCTGAGCTCTCGCTTACAAATTACTTTTCTTTGGTTGTGGTAGATGTCACTGACCCCCTAATCAGTAGGTATATGGACTTGCTATCATTACAAGAATTTAAAGGAGGTGAGGTCCACAAATGCAGAGCTATGCTTCTCTGTCCCTTTTTCATCCTGAGCTCAGTTTTACCTTCCTTCTAGACATCATCTCTAGGTATCTCCCGTGGAACACCCTGCTGGGCAATTTAAAGGCACCTGATAAGGACAATATTCAGAGTTTGTCAGTCAAATAATATTAACATGTAATTCTTTTCATATCTTGTTTGTTTTCTTAGATGACAAATGATGAATCTGCTTTCTCCACTCCTTGGGCCAGAGTGCATCAGACCTGAACAGAATTCCAACTATTGATTTCCTGCTCCAAAACACACTAATCAACTCACATAAAATAAAGTATTTTCTCATTTTCAGAATAGAAACGTATATACATTTAAAAAAAAGCACATTACTCTTCTGTCAGTCTTCATTTTCAGTCTGGTATACTTACTACACCACTCGAGTTATAGCATTTAATTATTAGAAATACATCTCCAAACATACTTATTCCACATGTCATGCAGTGCAGGTCTTTGCAGACATCTTGGTTGAAAAATTGGGACTTTGTTTATTAAATTAAATATCTTTCTGATAGCAAGTGATTTGTAGTAAAGTCATTTTAGATTTGTCTTGGTACAGACATCTTTGTGTTAAGAATATACAGGGAACTAGTAGTATGATTTTCATATGCTATGCCAGGCAAATTGGTATGACCTGTACAGATAGGAGATTGATTTCATCTTCAAAGCTGGAAGAGTCACTTAGATGTAGTTTCCCATTAAGGCTTTCTTTTTGTCATGGAACAGTTCAAAAGCCTCTGAATTTAGTGGGAAAATTCATGTGGAGTTCAGTGTACTTTTAAATAGAGGCCTGGATGAACCTGTCTCTGGAAAGGATTCTTAATCAGTGCTTAATCCTGTTCTCTGCGCTGTACTGAGTCGTGAGAGTAAGTTAAGAGCTTTTCTTTCGCTCTTGAGCATTACTGTGATAAAAAAGACAAAAACAAAATAACAGAAAACAGTTTAAAAACAGCAAAAGATATCTGCAAATATTGATCATCTGATGCTGCCTAGGCAGCAGACAAGTAGTAGCAGCTGGAGACAGGAAAATATAAAGCGGCACTGTTTAGAATGGTAACAAATTCTGGTGATAATAAATTTGAAGAATGTATTTATTTGTAATATAAGACAAGTTCAAGAAATTGCATAGAATATATTGAAATGAATATATTATGGAAGCTCCAGTCACCGTTTTCTGATTTCAGCGTTAGAATCCATAGAATTGAGCTCATGGAAAACTTCAGCCTTTCTTCTTATTAAAGTGCAAAGTGGAAATTTCAATTCTGAATGTATTCACACGTACCCACAGATAACCAAAAGTCTCTGGCATTTGGATTTAGGGCTTTGATGTAAGATGCATCATAACAGAGAAATCATTACGTTTTCAGTGTATGTATGTATGTATGTTTCAGAAAGTAACACTTGAAAAAATTGTACTAGATTCATAGAATCATAGAATCACCAAGGTTGGAAAAGACTCACAAGATCACGCAGTCCAACCATGTACCCATCACCAATAGCTCTCACTAACCCGTGTCCCTCGACATGTTATTTCATGAAGTCGAACAGTCACACGTTGAACATGTGATTTCTGTGAACCTCTGCATCATTTGTTCCTGACTGCTGTTTATGATGAAAATCAGTGGCTCTAATTGTTTCACACATTGGTTTGTGGTCTCTCATTTCACTTCTTAGTTTACCACCAACTATTTTCTCTCCTTTTATAACCTGGTATTGTATTTGTGAGGGAAACCAAGATAGCTGATTGGACTTCTTTTGTTTTGCCTATTAAAATATAAATATTCACTGCAATTTGTGACTCTGTGGTCTCTGAGTGGGTGAAATTCGTCTGCTTAAACCTGGGGATTGAGTGCTATTTTAGGCATGATAAGACAGCAGAGAAATAGGAGAGCAGTTAGAAGATATGACATTGTAACTGGAGACCAAAATGCTTATAGTAGGTCATCTGAAAGGACACTAGAAGTGTGGGTTAGGCAGCTGAAGCCTTCTTGTTTTTTAACTTCTTTTTCTTCATTTTCATTGTATTGCTTTGGGTCTTACATATGTTAAGAAAAGTAAAAAATAAATGAATGTATGTGCTGCTGACATTATTGGGCTTTCTGATTGCAGAGATCTTTTGCTGTATGGGCTTGTTAGTGACAATTTGCAACTCCATGTGTCAGTAATAGCTCCAAACTAAGGGTAAATCCCAGGATATGCTGGAATAGGGAGCATATGAAATCAATATATTGTGGAAAGGGCATTGTCTGTGGCTCTCCTATGTACCTATTTTTCATAATGCATGCTGGTAAATTCTAGGCAAGTCAATTATTGTAAAATTGTGGCCCAACTCTTGCACACAATGATGTCACCCCACCTGCCATGCTGAGCTGCTTATACACTTGGGATTCATTGTGTTCTAGTCCTATGCTTTGCTATCTGCAGTACAGATCACATCTGCTTATCAGTATTTCTCAGCTACTATTAGCAAAGATTCCTTCCTGCCTCTTTACAAGTGACACCGTTTTCTATTTGTCTCAGTGAAATCCAGCTATATGCTAAACATGCTTTGTGGATATATTTTTTAATGGAAAGATACTAATCTTTTGGCTTTAAGATTTTGAAAAACTGCATGAAAGCTAGAAATATCAGCTATTAAACATCCTTTTGTTGACACTATGCCTATGAGGGAAATTGTGAAATGAATTTTTTTTTGAACAGAAAAGTGTTGAGGAGGTGGGTATTTTTTGTGTTCTTGTTGTTATGTTTTTAGTATTAAAGATTTGCAGACTCAAGGAGCTGCACAAGCAAAGCGTTAGGTCTCCAAAGGCATGGTGCATTGGATGGCTGTAGACACATTAATATATGTTGTGCAGAAACACCCCAACTGGAAATGGCTGTTAGAAACTTTTTTCTTGTTTTTGTGGTAGAGAATTATTTCTGTAAATATCTATCTTCATTCACTCCCAAGCTATGGCTGGAGAATCTTAAGCACCTAACATATAGGTACTAAATTCTGATTTGGAGTCTGTTGCTCTAAAATGTAGATATTGCATAGCCAAAGTCCAGTATTACGTCTGCTTATTTCTCGTCTTTTAATCCTGCATGTGGTATGTGCAACGCATGAGGAATACCACAGTAGTGCTGCAGTTGGCAGAATTCAATAGGGCTTTTGCCTGCACTACCTTATGACTTCAGTTTTTCATTGTTCATAATTCTCATGACATACTTGAGGGGCTAAAACAATCAGCACATAGCTCTGCTGAGAATAATTTCCTTCTAATGGGAAAAAAGGTGGGGAACTGACTACTTTGTCTTACAATACTAAACTGTTTCTAAATGAGAGACGCTTTTGCCGTATAATATAAGAAAGTGATATGTACATTTGAAAAAGTAATGTACATAAATTCTCAGTTTAAAAAAAAAAAGCTAGCTGTAATAAAGCATTTTAAGATTAATGACCTAGTTTACTAAATGTGAATCCGGAGTAAATAGATAAGACACTAGAATACCAGATCAGGATTTGGAGTATCTTTCTCTATGAACTTAGCACATATGGTATATCATATAGGGTGTGATCAACTCATGTCAACTGCAGCAGTCAGGCTATTGAGTTGGAGTGGCATATAGATAATCAGTAGGAAATTTTGAAGTTTATGCAGTAGTAATCCTGACTGTTGAAACCTGGTTATAGGAAGACAGTAGCTATAACGCCCATCAGTGATATACTAAATGAGAAGCACAGGTTTTAGCTTTAGGCGTTCCTACCTAATCTAAAGTTCAGAGCATTAAAAAGAGGCCTCCGAGTTATAGTTCAAACCCAGGAATCCCCTCCAATAGATAGCTTATCGCTTAGGTTGCAAAGTTAGAGTTAGAGGGGATCTTATTCTTTTCAAATTATTGCTCATCAGAGAAGAGTTATTGTGCAGAGTGCAAGTAGAAAGTCTGGTGAGCCAGCACCTTAAAATGCATTACTTGCTGTGAAAGTGCATAGCTTACGCTGACTCCTCCCTATCTACTTGATTTGATGCTCAGTCTGAAAATAACTTCTGTGGGACATAGAGCAAGTTTAGTTGACTTGAGTCAGAGTCATATGACCTAGGTGAGGAGCATGTAGTATTTCATTAATTTTTCACAGTATATAAAACTTCATTTTTCAGATATTAATGCAGCAGCATGGCTTGCCATGACAAACAGCCAGATGACCTTGTCTTTTTTGTGAATGGCAAGAAGGTAAGTTTTTAAAGGCTGTTTTTTTCCCTTTGGAAAATTGCTGCAATATTTACTGTTTATTTTATACTGCAAAGCTGTTATTCTGGAGCAATATTTCATTCATAGGTAAGCTTCTTGTGGATTTGATCTTCCTTACAGCATCCTGTTTTCTCCTGAAGGAGCTTGTGGGCTTTTCCTGTCTTTACTGTGAACTGGGTAGTTGGATTTCTTTATGGTTTCAATTCAAAGCTGAGAATTTTTAAATTGCCACTGTAAGGAAACAAACTTGAGCATTAATTAATCTGAGAGAAATTTCAAGATCTCATCTCTGTAACTGTTATTTTTGCTTAGATTAGCTCAGTATTTTCTGTGCACTCATAAAAATTAGGCAGTCTATTGTTGCAGTAGCGAGTTTATACTTCATTATCTGGAATTTTTAGAATTATAACTAGTTATTATTTACTAAAACCTTACAGTAACATACTCCTAATGTTGATAATTGGAGTGAACACCGCTAGTGCAAAGGATATACTGTTTGCTAATATAATTTCAGAAATTTACAAAAAGAAAGTCAGAGGTTGCTTTTTCTGTTCTTAATGCCAAAAGCTCACATTTCATTTTCAAATATATTGTCATCTTTTCTGATTTTCCAGTTTAATAAAAAGTGAGTTCCTATTAAAAAAGATATCACCCAATATATATTAAAAGCTGGAATAAAATAATTTGACTACTATGTGGGTTTTTTGTTTGTTTTGTTGTTTTGTTTTGTTTTTGTTTTTTGTTTTTTTTTAAGTTGCCATAGATTTTTCTCTTGTTTGGTCAATATTTTTATATTGTTGAGCAAGAGTACTGGCATAAAAACAAATGAATAAATAAAGGTTTCAGGTGGATTGTGGAAAAGTGGTTCAAATTTTTGTCTTTTTTAAAATCTCTTTGCATGTGCCAACAATGCTTAAATGCATTCTTTTTGGGGAGAAAAAGGCACCAAAACTGAATTGTTGTGCTCTTTTATATTTTCTATAGAAGTTTCACATATTACTTGTTGCTATTTAACCAGTTGAAAAAGATATGATCCTAAATAGCCTATGTTATTACCATCCCTTTATCTTAGGTGAAAATATTTTTGAAGCTCAGAACATTTCCTTTTCCTATGCTGGTTGTTCCCTTCTTTGGTGAAGGTGAGAGGTTACTGTAGTGCTTTTAGTAATTTCTGAATTCCACTGAACAGTGTTCCTGAACTAGCTGAAGCTGGTAAACTGGAGCATGCTGCTGATATAGGAAAACTGTTGAGAGAAGCCTGAAGTGAGATCTCTCTTCATTCTGCATTGATAGGTCTTAAAATATGTTTTCATGCTTTCTGGGTTAGTATAGTATCATGCACACAAATTCATGGCTTTAAAACTAAGGGATTTCTGATTCATGCTGCTATGAGTCTACAAAGGGTCTAGTAAAAAGAGGGGGTCTATTCTTTTCCACCCAGTGTGTACTTAGCCTCTTTTCCTTCTCGTTTTTCTGAATAAACCATGATTTCTAATACTTTAAATACATATTTCACCAATACTACCTGACACACTTGTTGATATATCTACAGATTGTGATCAAGTGTCAGGATCCTGTTGCTGAACAAACAGACCTCCTTAATGCACAATCACAGCATTTCAGTGTCAGTTAATCCTTGTGAGAAGGTTATGTCCACTCCCTAACACATAATCACTCTTTTTTTTTTTCCCCTATGATGCAGATAATTGAGAGGCAGGCAGATCCTGAAGAATTACTTCTGTACTATCTAAGAAAGGAACGTATCCTTTTGTTTGAGCTCTGCCTTTGAATTCTGCAATTCTGTGAACTACCATAATTGAGGATTTGTTTGACTTTGGGAACAGAACAATAAGTAGAACTAAGACATCTCATGTTGCATTTGTTCTTGGCAGTGCAATCTAGTTCTTTATGTGCATTATGTGTTTGGTTCCTTGTGTTTAACATCATGAATTCTGAGTGTAACTCTTCTAGGTCCTACCCAAATGCTTCTCTACAGCTTCTCAAACAACAGAAAAAACTTTCAGTTCATTTGCCATTAAAATTATAACTAAAGAAATAAATACACAACTTCTTTTATAGTAAACCATTTATTTAGACCCCAGTCCCTTAAAGAATTCTGTATAAGCATATTTTCTTACTATCTTCTTATCTTTATTTTTTGTCAGTTGGGAATTTTCAAGTTCCTAAACTGGTGTCAAGGCCTTATAGACTTCAGTGACAGTTACACTAAATAAAAAGATGCCATGCATGTTGCAAAATTAAGCATCTGTGTTAGCATTTGAGGTCCTTTTTGAGAAAGCAAAGCAACATTAATGTAAGGAGTAAGTGGAGAAGGGCAGTAGTGGAAAATACTTTACAAGCTGTAGCTTTTTTATTAACTTGCATTGTTCAGGCATTCGGTGGAATAATTAGCATCTTTTTAACAGTAAAGCACAGTATGATTAATGATTACAAGTATGATTACATAATGATTACTAGTAGGAATGCATGGGAGTACAAAAATTGCACTGAGTGCAGGAACATCTGGAAACATGATGAAATTAATTTGTAAACATGATCTAGTACCAATAAGCAAAATGGATGAAAATGTACTTACCCAGTGGGAAGAGCAATACGACTGTCTATCATTCTGATGAATGGAGGAGTTAAGATGAAATGAGTAAGTAGGTTCCATGGTCTTCATGGCACCGTGACAACAGAGGGATAGACTGTGAATTGGATGGAAAAAAAAAAGGTGGAACTTCTATGCTGCAGATTATGGACAAAGTCCATTCTTACAGAACTTTGTCTTGTGCATGGGTATTGTGCTCCATTTTGGGTACTGTACTGCTTTCATGAAGCAGCAGTGGAGACATACTGAAATCTGAAACGGAGGATATAGATAATTATGTATAAAGCTCAAGAAAGTGTTACAAATAAGGCTCATCAGAGAACCTATTGCTGGATTTCTTCAACATGTTCCAATTACAGGGTACTGATTTTCAGTATTTTGGGGCTTCATCAGGTATTGACTATCAAGACTGAAAACTTCTGTGTTAGAAGTTTGCCTTGCCCTCATTTCTCTCCATTCTTACCCTTCTTATCTCTTTATGTGTTTTACTTTCATCTATCTTGTACACTTTTTTGTGTGTGTCTGGAGCTATCTGGTTCAAAGATCCCTCCGGTTTTGCTCGTGTACATAAAACAAGGGAAACTCAGCAGAATGTAAAGAAAAGAGGACTTCTTCATCTTATATTTTATTTCTTTAACAGTCTCCTTTTGCAGTCCGTCTCTCAGGAACAAAGTATGGCTGTGGAGTAGGAGGCTGTGGTGCATGCACTGTGATGTTATCTACGTATGACCCAGTTGCCAAGAAGATTCGGTATGCTCACACTGATATTTGAAAAAACTCGTGTTCACTTGGAAATGCTTGGTTTCTTTCCATCTAGACAGATCTTGGGTAATTCTGGTACATATCTAAAAGCTTTACCTATAGACTTTCTCCACAAAAGAGATTCCAGAGTTGGTCCCACTGTGATGCAATAACAATGAGATCCCGAGTCTCAAATCTTTGTAAAAAAAAAAAAAAAAAAAAATCCAACAAAACAAAAAACAGCCAAACAAAACAAAAAACGAAAAATAACCCACCACCACCAATAAAAAGCAGAAAAAAACGAACAAAAACTTCCACCCCAGCTTTCTGGAGAACTGATATTTTAAAATTGTGTTCTTTATAATCTGATATTTCTCCAGCCTTCTAATCACCTGCTTCTCCTGACTCTTTTGTGCTTATTTGAATATGTATCATTGTTAGTGAGTCTTTACTAGACAACACAAAGAAATGTCCCATATTTCCCATAACTGTTGCTAAAAGCTCTGTGGGCTTCAGCAATGAACACGTTCTATTGTCATTGTACAGTTTTGTCTGCAGCAAAGTTAGATGTTTTAATTTCTTTCTCTCCCTGGCTCTTGAAACTTACATTTATAAATGTTGTGTCTGACTTTCTCACATCCTACTCTCCTCAGGTTTTAATAAAGCATATGTTTGGGTTTTTGGGTTGTTTTTTTTTTTTTGTTTTTGTTTTTTTGTTTTTTAACTTAACCTTTCTCTTTTTTAATTAAGAAAGCTTATTGCTTTGTGTAGAAAGAAATCCCACCAGTGGGAACTGTGCATGCTCTCACAGTCCAAGTGAAGGATTTTGTATTCTTGTGCCACAGTGTCTTTTTATAGCCCAGTAGCTGAAGTATGTACCCTTTATTTCTTCCTCCATAACCCATATGATAAGGCTGTTTAACACAAAGTTCTCCTTTGCCCCTCAAAGGCACCATCCTGCCAATTCCTGCCTGCTCCCCATATGCTCACTGCATGGTGCTGCTGTTACTACTGTGGAAGGGGTTGGAAGCATAAAAGACAGGATTAATCCAATTCAGGTGAGAACACGCTGGACTGTGTAATACAGACAGATAATGAGATTTTCTTGTCTTATGTCTGTAATGGAGATGGGAGTTGTGAAAAGGTACTGTAAGTTTGTACAATACAGAATCTCTGAAAGAATTCTAGAAACTCTGAGTTTTGTCTGATCTTTTTAGATGAACAGGAGTTATTGGGAATTCGGATAATAATTGCTGTGTTGTTGTTGGTCTGGTGTGGGTACAGGAAATGAAATAAGGAGCATGCAAGGAGTTTTCCCTAATGTACTGCCATGCAGGGATTATATCACAATCTCCACGACACAGGCCTGTCCATTCCTGTGTTTTGTAGCATGGCAATTTTCAGCAAGGATTAGGAAGAAGAACAAAGAGCACTGCTCAGTTTCAGTTATTACACCAGTATGGCGTCTAGCCAGCTCACTGGGGACAACATAATGCTTATGTTGCAATACACGAGGAGTTAGCCCAGGTGGCAATTAGATTGACCAGCATTCAAGTAGATGCATCTTTCCTGTGTGCCAGAAATTTCCTTTAGATTAGATCAGCTCTGTACTTCCTTCAGTCTACCTCATCCCTGAAAAGCATGGTCCGGACACATTGATTTAAGAATTTTCTGTATTTTTTTTTCTCAGTATCATTTTCTAAGGATATTGTCTCTGGGATTGGTCTGCAATGAAGCTTTGACTGATGAGTTGTTATGTTCTGGCCTTCATGATTGTGGTGGATATTTAAACTGGAAGTCTTGGGTTCTCATTCTGATCTCATGTCAAGGAATTTAGGTCATGAATGTCAAAGTATAATACTGTGAGACAGCATTATCTTTTACAAGATGTTTGCTCTGAGAATTTTCTCATGAATGGTCATGGTGGGATAGCAAAAAAGCTGCTACTAGTCTAATGTCTGTTGATAACAAATTTGAAAGCGGTTATTCAGAAAGCCAGTGAAGCCATATGTTTTGTCCTAGGAAAGACTTGCCAAATGCCACGGCTCCCAGTGTGGCTTCTGCACCCCTGGAATGGTGATGTCCATGTATGCTTTACTGAGAAGCCATGTGAAACCTTCCATGGAACAGATAATTTCTGCTCTGGATGGTATGTCTCAGACAGTAAATTTTAAAAAGTAAGATGAGACAATAAATATTAACTGGGATAGCAAGTATGATTTGACACAAAAGCAGTAGATGATGTTTGAAAGTGTGTTTTGTTCTAACTACTGTAGTCTTAAGAACATCTTAAAATTCATTGAGTCCTGACTATGTATTTCTGAAAATCATTTAGAACTGTTTTTATAGTACTCCTACATCAGCAGCCTCAATATAATGCAATATTATTTCAGTGTTACAATCTATATAATCAAAGATAGATTCTTTTTTGTCTTTGGTGTAAGTACTTCACCTACCAATAACATAAAATCCCTATTAAAAATTTTAACAGCTGCAGGGAAGATAAAAGACATGACATTCTATGTCGACTCTTCAAATTTACTATAACAGATGAAGCAACTTGAATTCGCTTTCTATCCCAAGTTTGCTAACAATCCCACGGTTCCCAAAAATATTTGACCCCTCCCATTAAACAGTTTTAACTTCATGAAAGAAGCACCAGAAATTTCAGCAGAGATTTTCCTACTGCTTTTAACTGTATGTGAAAACGATGATACTGGCCAATGGCAGTAGATTTTTGATTGGATTATAAAACCCAAAGATTATAGTGATAGTAGTAGCAATAGTAGTAGAGTAATACTAGTATTACCTCTTGGGTGCTTTTTGTCATATATTTTTGACATATATTTATAAAAAGTATTTCATATTATTATTAGAAATGGTTTCTAAAACAAGGAATTTCAATCATATATCATAATCACTATTAAAGTAATATTTCTTATTTTTGCAGACATGGTTTTTCCCATTAGGGAGTTAGGGACATAATTTTCAACATTTCATATCTACAGATTTCAACCCACACCATTTCAAATTCTGTCAGTGCTTCCGAACATTATTACAATTTCTTATGTTTCATTATGTGCTTTATTTCAGGTAATTTATGCCGTTGCACAGGATACAGGCCAATTATAGACAGCTATGCATCTTTTGCTAAGGTGGGTCAATGTTTGTGAATGTGTTTGTTTTTTTGAGACCGTTGATGGGATCTGAAAAGTCTGAGACTTCCTGAAGAACCTGCCTGAAATCTAGCTTAATTTGGAAATCCTTTTTGGTTGAGCCTTTGGAAAATCTGACACTTTGTTTTCAAATGTGCTAAGTACTTGCAGTTGCTGCTGACTTTAACTTTTGCATGTACTCTTGCAATGAACTTAAGAATCCTTTACATCAGCTTCAACCAATTTGATCCAGATGCCGTTGAAACAATTGTGAGCTTTTTCCATTCACCTTATGAGTGAAGACATTCAGGTACCCAAAAGGAACTCACTCCTAGGGGCCCCAAGGTTCATGAGATCTCCTGGACGAACTTATCGTCTGAATGAATAAGTCTGCTTTAAAACAGGAAAAATCAAGGTGGTAATTTACAGATAAATTATAAAGTTGCTTTGTTGGTTTTATAGAACAGGATATGATTTCTTTAGGAGCAAACATGCTGCCAGCTGAGAGGAACTGGAAAATGTTGCTTGGATCAGGAAGAACTTGGGTGCTCATCTTCTGCAGGAGTTCGGGTAAGATACATTGAATGTTTTTTTTGTTTGTTTTCATTATCTCCTATTTGCATTACAAAATTTGGAGAACATGGATTATTTTTTCTGTCCTTGAATGTTTAACCCAGACTGAATTTCATGCTTTGGCTGTTGGGGAATAGTAGCATAAACATATTTGCATTTCTGCACTGTCAGAATGAAAATTACAGTGCAGAGTGGCATGACTTATTTAATGACTTTTTTTAGTGAGTGTGGATCTCACTATTGCACATTTAAGTCTACTGAGTTCTGTGGAGAAGAAAACTTTTGAAAAGAGACACTTTCCTTAAAAAAGCTGGTTTTAACATGAGGTTGGATGCCTGTAACAGAAGTTCTGCAACCATCAGCGTGGCTTGTTTGTGTGTTCTTGAGACACCAACTCTGAGGAAACAAACCTGTCCCTGTGTGATATTAGTTTGTGCTTCTGAAGATTTTCATAAACCTTATTATGTGTTAGTGTATGCAAGATCCTCAAGGAGGATGTGTCTTTTACATTCTACTGTAATTGATATATTGGAATTGCTTGAAAACAGCAAGAAAGAAGAAAAATATGTTGTTTTATTCTTACTCTATATATGGCACACTTTAAAAATCACCCATGATTCTTCTGGTAAAAATCCAAGGGATCAATAAAAGTACAGACAGGAACTCCAGTAGACTAAGGCAATTGTTTGTGTGCATATCAGAATTTGTTGTGTTTATCCACCTGCAAGAAGAGACGACAGCGCCCTAATATAACACTTCCTTGTTTCGCGATGGGAAGTTGGATTCCACAGATGTAATTATTCTGGCTGCAAAAATTTAAGGAACTGTAAAGCAACTCTCTAAAGTAAAATGTCATACGTATTTTGTCAGTGAAAAACCTTAGGCAAGCAGACTGTAACTGCATGTGTGTTTGTGCACCTAAATGTATTGTCTCTGCCTGTGTAAGTACTTAAATTGTTGGCCAGCTTCTGCCACAGTTGTTTGAAGCACAGATCTAGCAATGTGGTAGTTGCTGGTTATAGAACAGCACTTCTTTGTTTGTCCCTTACTTGGCTTTCACTGATTTCTATTCCTTTTGATTGCTTTCATTCAAATTAAATAGCTGTTGCTTAATTATTATGAAGGAAGATCTGGAATTTTTTGCCATTTGATCAGTGGAGTCAGTCAGGCTAAACTATGTCATTCAGAGGCAGGTCTTGTAGTTACTGTGATCATGATTTGTTCAGAGTGACAAGAGGTAATGACTGCATGGGGAAAGGATAAGACTAGCATATGTCAGTCTCTTCCTTTCCTTGATATGCTTGACAGCTGTTGCTTCCTAGTCTGACAAGAATTTTAATTCTGAAGATAAATCAACAAGGCAGAAAATCCTAAACAGTGCTGGGATTAGTCTCTTTCCATGTAAATTACTGAAAGCTCAGAGGATGCATAGCCTTATGAGTGGCCTCAGCAGAAAAGAGGTACGTGTATACAAGTAGAGAAAGATCTGTTTCTTCTGACGTGCTGCCAGCAATTCAGCTAGGTAGAGAGACTTTAGCAGAAAATCAGCTCAGGTTGACTGCTATATTGTTTGTTGTCATCTCAGACTCTGTCGTCTCATTCAAAGTCACAGTCTGTGAAAAGAACCTAGCTATAGCATCCAGCACTGCATTCTCCCACAGTTGATATTTCACCCATTCTTGTTGCATATTTGCTGTGACTGGTTTCAGGAAATACTGTAAGATCTTTTTCGACTCTTGATGTCATTTAAGCAAAGGCTTGAGAATGCTTATTCTGATAGTCTCCTGTCTTACAGTAGTTTGTGAACAGGTATAACTTAACATTAAAAATCAATTTGTCTATCTCAAATTTTTGAACGGGATTTAACCCGTAGAGTGTCAAAACTCAATGTCACATCGGCAAAAAATCTCATGTTTTGGCAAAGACTTTCAGCTTACTCTGAAAATATTCACTCACTGTTTTTACCCCAATTTCTTTGCAGATTCGCTCAGGTCTTTGCAACCCAGCAGAATTCCTACCTGTAGATCCAACACAAGAATTCATATTTCCTCCTGAACTAATGGTAGGAAGTACTCATCTTTTATTTTTGACTTTCATTGTAATGCAAGCATGACTGAGTTCCTGCAAAAACTGTAGTCATGATGACTCTATCCTCAGATAAACAGAAAAAACCCCACATTTTTTATCGGACATACTGAGGAATTTTTATCTGGATAATTTGTATGTAATCATTGTTCTAAATTATATTTTCAAGAAGGAAATGGTTTGCCTCTCCATAACAAAAATGTTGTTTCCAGTGTTTTCCTGAAACATCTCCTTACTGAGAACTGTTCAATTTCAGAGCTTTTTGTGATGCACAGCATTTTGTTGGAAAGTTCCCAGGTGAACTGCTCAGTCTTTTCAGTCTTGTCATTCTCTGTTGGATTTAAAGGTCTACAGGACCCACTGTTTCCTTCCAGCTGGCAAACCAAGGCTGGACTGATACATAAGAAAGGATGGAGAGGGAAAAGAGCATTTATGGCAGTGGTTATTAGAAAGGAAGGACAGATGGAAACTTGAAAGGAGAATGCGTAAAGTGCTGCATGGTCTGTGACAAGAGAAGAGAGCTGTGAAAATGATAGAATAGGGTGTTACCAGACCAGGTCAAGTAGAGTCCAAACAGGCAGGCTCAGGCTGATTTTTTGTTTAATCCTCATGTTTCAACAGCTTCTTGTGAAATTCCTTATTTGTACTCTTGTTGTAAATATTACTGTGTACTTCTCACTGCTGTTATGCAACTACCTCAGGGACTCGAAAGTTCATTTGTGTCCTGGGAAGCCAAGGCCTAATTCTTTGATTTGTTACAGTGTTACAGCATGTTATTTTACAGCAGTTAACTTTGTAAACACTTCAGTTTAAGAATACAAGTTCTGTTTATAAGGATTGTCTCTCAGTGCTGAACTTGCATACTAAGGTATAAGCTTCTTCATATTGTCCTGAAGTGGAAGGCAAATTTACCTTTCTGCTACTTGACTTGCCATTGTCAGACTCATGCTGTAAGAATGCAGGCATTAATGGATATTTTGCAACTCCTGTACTTGGATTAAGCATCTTTGCTAAATTGCTCTTAACTCAAAGGCTGTTCATTAAGAAAGGAGATACTGTCATCTGTTGTTCACATTGTGCTGCCAAGAGGAGTGATCTGTCTCTTCAAGCGATGTAAGGTCTACAGCGTGACCTAGAATGATAATGCTGAGTTTGTTCAAGTTCTCTTGAAGTCTGTTGCAAGCTCTCAGCCAATTTAAGTAGGTTAGCCATAAGCTCTATGTGAAATCAAGCCTACTTGATGAACTGGAGCCCTGGGCAATCTGATCTATTACCTGATTCAGTGGATGGCAACTCTGCCCTTGGCAGGGGTGTTGAAAATAGAAGATCTGCAAGGTCCTTTTCAACCCAAGCTGTTCTGTGGTTCTATAATATGCATTAAAAGCGTGGATACTGGAAAAAGCACATAAAACACAGCTGCAAAAATGTGGAGAGCAATAATAGTGACAGATTCTTCTCTGGCAAAGGAGTGCCTAACTGCTAATTATGACTGAGTCCACATGCTCCTATTTACATGTGTTTCAGGCAAGTGTATTACATAGAAAACCAGTTCATAATTGCAATTGTTCTTCCATTTGCCAACTGTTCTATGTGTTCGTTACTTTGTTTGCAAAAAAGATGTTTCTCAGTGGTCCCTTTTGAATATTTTGAAGGCATGATTCCACATGGTACTTGCTGAATATGGTGAGAGCGTACATGGCATTCTCAGTGGAATAAAGGGAATTAGCCTTGTAAGACAAGAGGTGCCTTAGCAACCCTTTAATTTATAAATAAATTAATTGGAAATACTGATCAACCAACCCAAGGAGACTGTATTTCCAAGTTTTTTCAGATAAATGAAGAAGTAACTGCTTTCATTTTAAAAAATTAATAAATTCTATATCATAGAAACTAATCAGGGTCTAGCAAGGCAAATAGAGACATCTGGCAGATGGTGATACAGTGATTCTCCCTGACTGACAGAATATGCTCCTTGTATTCTCTCACATATGCAGTGAGCTTTTGGCGTCCTGATTTCCTTCAAAATCAGATCACATTGCACTCTTATTTATTACATTGTATACAAAGGGAAACTTTCAGAGCAAGATGAAGGAAAACAGAAGACTAATCTGTTGCTAGTCTAGTGTCTCTTGCATAGTTGTCTAGTTGGCCTTTAGCAATAGCAGTTATAAAAACTCAGCATTGTACAGCACTATATAAGCACAAGATGAAGAACTCCATTTGTGTCTCATCATTTATCATGACAATGTCCTAGGTAGTAATAAAATTGCTTATATTGACATTTCTCAAAACTGACTAGTCTTTATCATTTCCACCACAGAGAATGGCTCAAGAACAGCAAAGAAAGACCCTTATTTTCTGCAGTAAGAGAACAACATGGATTTCTCCCTGCAGCCTGAAGGAGCTTCTGGAGCTGAAAGCCAAGTATCCAAAGGCACCTCTGGTTGTGGGTAACACCAGCTTAGGTATGGAATGGCAAAAGACCTTTTGACACAGGGATTTCTTTATCCAGTGGGCATGTAACTGAGCCCTCATTTTATCATCTGAGGATCCTGAAAGCATTCTCTCACCCTAGTGACTGTGCTTCTATACTTAGGCCATGGTCATTTTCTCTGATTTTTTACAGCATGTCAGAAACTAAGTACCACCATAACTGAGCACAGGGTCTGCACTAGCTTCTCCTAGTAACCTCAGAGCGAAAATTATGTGAATAAGGGAGGAATCGCTCAAGTCGAAGGGTCAAACATTTCCTATCTACATTGGCCTGAATGTAACAAAGGAAAAGAGCACAGTAACCCCATATGCCATCTAGGCAGTGGCTGGTTTCTGCGTACTATAGACAGGGTTGAGAGTTTGTAGGGTTGTTTTGTTTTTTGTTTGTTTGTTTGTTTTTGTTTTCTGGGTTTTTTTCTTTGTTTGTTTTGTTGCTTTTGTTTTGTTTTGTTTTGTTTTGAGGGAATAATCAACCAGGGGGCATTTCTCACTGTAAATAGAGACATAAGTCAATTCTCCGTTATAGTTGCACTACAAATTTAATTGTGGCATTTTTCTAATAATGTACCAGCTCATCTCTCCCTCCCAGCTTCTCCCCCACCATGATGTAATACTTCACATAACACCAGAATGGTAAATCTCTTCAGTCTAAAAAGTTTAAATTTCTTTATGTGAGGCTCTGGCAGCTACTGCAGAACAAATAGGACTTTACACAAAGCATGAGGTTTACAATAGAGACCATGGGGTAATCTAATTACTACATACATACACACACAATTTTGGGAATATACATATATATTAAAGGTGTTGCATTAGGGGAAAACAAGAGAAGCACAGAAATGTTGTTGCTCATATATAAAGGTGGAATTGTATACAGCTCTGAGGTGAGAGGTGAAATCTAATGTGATACAGGAAAGGGCCAGAAACCAGTTTAGAGGAACATGGAGCAAAAATCTGGAAAGAGCATATTGAACTTGGGACTTCAGACCAGCCTTCAAACTGATCTGAAAAGACTGTATGAGGAGTAAGCACAGTGGGGGTCAGATGAAGTGGACCAAGGAAAAGCAATAAAATGTGGCATTCAAGATACTACATAATAAAATTCAGAAGACTTTGCAACTACTTAGTTACAATGCTTTTGAGCTTTGCAGTCTCTGCATCAAAGAATATGTTCAACTTTTTCAACAGGTCTCTAACTACAGTATTATACTTTCCCTTACAGGCCTCAACAAAAATGACTGTGATGCCTATCATCCAATCATTCTCCATCCTTTGAGGATTCCAGAAATGCAAGTTGTGAGTATCACAGATGATGGTGAGTCTCCAAGTTACCTCTACTAATGGTACAATGATGGTACAGTGATGACTAAATTGAGTTTTGTATTTTGACACCAGAAGGAATAAGAACCATTGCCTCTTATTTCTGCTGAATGTTTTGGGTTTTTTTTTTCTTTCTTTGTTTTTGTTTCCTCCCCTGTCGCAGTCATTTTGCTAAGCCTTTTAGTCAATATGTCAGCTTATTTATGGTCTGGAGATGATGGGGCAATTCATGAGACTGTTCTGCAAAAGCGTATTTGTTCAAATCTCAAATTTCTGCAAACAGCAAACGTAGGGGAAGGCCCTATGTCAGCCTTATTTCTTTGTTTTAACCAGTCATTTACCTTTCAGTCACAGCCATTTGTCTGATAAAGTTTGCAGAACTTGAATTAGGCTAGGATTAGATTTTAAACATGATAGATTTGCAACCCAAAATAGCAGAGTATTTTCTTTAGAGTGGTTGGGCTTGATTCTCAGCTAGTAGAACGAATCATAGATGCACTGATGTGAAAAGAACTGAGTTAAGAGTCCAGTGCAGTAGGCACATCATGCTGCTGAATGAAGAAATTACATCTGTAGCAAAATATGAAATACAGCATCTTCTCCATGGGAAATCTTACTATTAAAATTAGAGGAATTAATCTGTTTAATAATGGCCTCTTTATCTCCTTATGTTCCCTGCAACTACTGAATTACAAAAACAACTCTGCATTTAAGCCCACTTCCATAGATTGTGGCTCCATTATTAATAAAAAGTTTTTCACAACACTTGAAGATTTCTGTGTACATCAGAGTTCAGTGAAGTACATGGTAGTGGCTTCTCTGATACCAGTGGAAATGTGATCAAGTGTTTGGGGCTCACTCTTGAAGGGTTCTAATAAATTTGTCATCATTCATCCTGATTAATCAACTAATGTTTATGTGTGTCTTTGGGGATACAGTGCATAAAAACATGATGTGCATTTATGTGTGCAAATACTGAATGTAATATTTTTCAGATATACGTATAGTAGTAAAATTTTCTGAATAAGCAAACAGTATTTGAAGTTCTTGTTGCTTAGAATATGTAATTTATCTTACTCTTATTTCTGTTTTACTGCTGACAAAAGCTGCCTACGATAGCAAGTCTTTAGAGGCCTTACAGGTATTGCATTTAGTGTGGAGTTATGATTTCACTATCTAAACTCATTTGGTTTCAGGGATAGTAATAGGAGCTGCCTGTTGCCTTGCCCAGCTCAGAGAGATTCTCCTGGAGACTATCCCAAAACTCCCAGAGGAGAAAACAAAAATCTACCAAGCTCTCTTGCAACAGCTGAGAACTCTAGCTGGAGAACAGATCAGGAGCATGGCGGTATGTATTCAGCTGTGATGGGAAATAAGTCAGCAATACAGACATGTTACGAAAATGATCAGGGGACTGGAGCACCTCCCCTATTAGGACAGGCTGAGGGAGCTGGGCTTGTTCAGCCTGGAGAAAAGAAGGCTGTGGGGCGACCTTATTGCAACCTTTCAGTACCTAAAGGGAGCCTACAAATAGGATGGAAATAAACTCTTTGAAAAGGTTGCTAACTGCAGGACAAGGGGAAATGGTTTTAAGTTGAGGGAGGGAAGATTTAGGTTGGATGTCAGGGGGAAGTTCTATGCAAAAAGAGTGCTGAGGTGCTGGAACAGGCTGCCCAGAGAGGTTGTGGATGCCCCATCCCTAGAAGTGTTCAAGGCCAGATTGGATGGGGCCCTGGGCAGCCTGGTCTAGTATTGAATGTGGAGGTTGGTGGCCCTGCATGTGGCAGGGGAGTTGGAGATTCATGATCTTTGAGGTCCCTTCCAACCCTGGTCATTCTGCTATTCTGTGACATATCTGTATGAATGTCACTTACATGGAGAAAAACTGGATGAATCTATGATAAGCTTCATAAAGCTAAGTATTTAATACCATCACAAAAGTTGTATGAAGTAATATGGAATAAATGGGAAGTTGTCAGCAGGGTCAAATATCTTGAGAGCTGTAAACGAAACTCTCTTGTTTTCCCTGCTGTCTGAGCAGAAAACAGAAAACAGTCTCTTTCTGAGCAGAGAAGTGAGATTATTTGGGAAGGTACTACACTCCTTGCAGCGAATCGTACTTTGGTTTGACTATGCACACATAGCAGTTTATATGTGAGGCATCTCTGATATTTTCCCTAATTAGGGAATTCCTTTAGCTTAATACCTTGCATTTATGCCTCTAATTAAGAAAATTGGCCATCGCTTAATTTATTGGGCAAAAAAGTAAACGTGGTCTTTCTCATGATGATGACACAGAACTTTCAAAGGGAACAATAAATTAACTCACCTTGAAAATTGCCAGTTAAGATTAAATAAAATAAAACAACAGGCCTGTTAAATGAATTAAATGTGTTTATGATGCAGATCTCTGTTACACATGAAAGAACAAGCCTAAAAATAACCTAATTGTTTAAGCCTAATAATAACCTAATTGTTTGTTCAAGTCTTTAGGAGGACACATTGTAAGCAGGGGATCAGCCTGGGACTTGAACCCAATCTTATCTGCTGGCAAATCTGTTCTCAACTTGGCATCAGATGGTAAGCTTTGAACTTCCTCCCAGGTATCTTTGCCGTATGGACAGAACAGTGTAAGAGAGAATGTAACTATAGGTCATTCATTTTCAAATGAAACATTACTGCACATCCCCCTAATGAATTAGATTGGTACTTTTGCTGAATGGAAGACAACATTGTCCTGGCTTTTGCCTCTCGTTATAACTATCAACAAATGTCTACCAGTAGAAGACTGTCTGTGGGTTTCACAAGACAAAAGGAAACACCTGTTGATTTCATGAAAGAAAAACAGTCAGGTGTGACAGGTCTCTGGATGCGCTGCTCCATTTATCAGACGGGTGTTTGCTTTTGTTGCTCGTGTCTTTCTTATTTTAAGAAAAAATGGTTCATTCTCATCATGTCTTAGCACCTTCAAGCTTCTGTTGAAATCACTGGTACTTGTGTGTGTGTGTGTGTGTGTGTGTGTGTAAATGTTTGAATAACACAGTAATCAAGCCTGAGCAAATTCCATCCTTGTCATATAAAATCTGTAGGTTCTTTGGAAAATCTTGGCAATTATTTATAGCTCTGTGCTAAACATGTGCAGAGCTCATTCTCATTGCAGCGCTTTAATTATTTAATGGTCTAAGAGTTTTTGAAAGAGAGCAGAAAGAGAATAGCTGTATTTAAACCCAAATTGCTGATTTTCTGATTATTATCATTATTATTAGCATTTGTAGGAGTTCAATTTTCCAGAAAATTTTCCAGAAAAAAACTTTATTTTTGATGGTGGACTACAGCATTCACATAGCGGAAAAAAAATGCACTTAACCTATATGATAAAGATTAAACTTTCCACTTGAAGGACTTTGAAAGTCTAAGGCCAGTTTCTGAGTGAAGGTAGCTGTATGCTTTAAGGCTATTGCAGCACTTTGGAGCTATTATTTTCTGCTGAAAACAATGCTCACTGAAAATGTCAGCACTTCTTTGAGCATCTTCATTTCATTTTCACAGCTGCATGTTTGCATAATTATTTTCACTCCAAATGAAAATAGTTCAACCTATATAGATGGTCTGGCCAAGTGTATGCTTTTGCACAGATTAAGTAAAATTTGGATGTTTTGTTCTTAATGCACATTCAATACATTTTTCTGTGACAGGTGGCAAGCGACAGATTTTTTTAAATGACCAGTTTCTTGCCGGCCATAAACATGCAGACATAGAGCCCAAGGAGGTTGTTGTTTCTGTTCTTATCCCATATTCTACAAAGGTAAAATCATTGATGTTCTCTCCGAATTGCTGTTTTGTGATGTCTCTTTGACTTATGGGTAAATAGAATCAGATAAAAGACCAGAATCATTGTATATTTCAGTCTAAATAATGGATGATAGAAGCATTCGGTGCAGCCATTAATTAAAGCAAAATCTTAATAATAAAACCCAAACTGCTGTGAGCAATGGTGTCAGCGCGTGGCTTTCGGAAGTTAGTGGAGGAGGAAATGATGTCATTGTTACTGTGTTCTTAGATTTCCCTCTAGTGGATGTGAGGAGAAGTATGAGACAAGCAGGAGACAGAACTCAAAGCGTATATTCTGTGATTGAAGTTAACGACAAAGTAACCACAGGAGTAGCTGCCAACCCTGACATCAGAGTAGCTGCCCATTGCAACACCACATAATAAACACATGTGGCCTCATGTTGGAAAAGTTCTGCAGCCCTTTAGAGGCTGCCAGCTATGGAAAAAAAAAAAATTCCACAAGCAGAAAACTGCAGTAAGATAATCTGTGAGCAGCAACAGTGCAGCAGTGTTTGTACTGCACAGAAACTTTGAGCTTCAGTAGTAATTAGAGAGACAAACAGGCTGGAGGAAAAAATGGAAGGGTTTAGTTCCCTCCACAGAGTAAAAGAGGGAAATCCCATCTGCATCAGTATATGAGAAATAAAGCAGCTGTGCAGCATATTCCTGACAGTAGCACTACTGGTGTACTCAAAAGCTCACTTCAAAGATGTGGAAAACTGTCTGTCAGCAGTCACATGGGCAACATGTGATATGCAGCAGCTTCAGCACACAAAATTAACCCCATTTCTGTGGGCTGTCTGCTTCTGACATTTGTTTTAATGCTGAAATGTCTCCTCCACTGATTCTGCTGAGATAACAAAAATGCATATGGAAACTTTTTTTTGCAAAACCTGTCAACAGAAAGTGAGAGAACAAAGGCTGAAGGAATCTGTCTGACAGTTCTCACTCTTGTTCCCGGCAGTTCCTAGTTTTGATTTTGTGTAGCTTGATGTGAATTATGCTTAAGTGAGTGAATTTAGATCCTGGTAAGGAGTTTTCCCATCTCTGATAAAACTCATTGTTGATCATACAATCCTGACTTTTACAATCAGACACGGTGAGAGAAACTAACCTGCTAACCTCTAGCAGGCTCAGTGGCTTTGAATTTGAAGGTTTTTTTCTGGGGCTAGAGAAAAAGGGCACTTTACATTTTCTTTACAAAGGGATCAGTTCTGTGCCTGATCATGAAAGAAGCTGCTATTATGTGTTTTTTAAAAATACTTTTAATCATCTCCAGAACTAAAGGAGATTTCTGACAACTGAAAGTGCTGTTGTTTTGAGTGCCTCCCTCTGTAAATGCCATTGTGGTAGCTAGAATAACACATAGAATCTCTGAGTGTAAAATCTTCGCAAGATCAGGTTATTTGGCACAGTAGGATTTCCATGTTCTGGAAGAGAAACCACTGTTTTGTAAGCTGAGATTTGATTTAAAGAACACACCATCCATACGTGAAGTGGCTTATACCAGGACGGCTTTTCCTGTACTCTGAAAAACTTTTGGCATGTTTTCTTACTTGCAGACAGTGTCAAATGCTGTCTTAGTATGTCTGCCTACGATTAGCTTAGTACTTCAAGAAGAATTTAAAGATTATCTGAAACAGTAATTCCAGCAGACATTTGTTAAAAGTAATATTTTCTTTGGACAACGATAATCAAAGTACAGGGAGTTGTAGATTTGCTTTATTTTAACAAGACCAATTTCTACCATTTATGGCATTTCTATTGTCTTTTATTCCATTAGGATGAGTTTATTTCAGCCTTCAGACAAGCTGACCGTCAGAAAAATGCTTTTTCCGTAGTGAATGCTGGATTGCGAGTCCTCTTCAGACCAGGCACAGACACAATTGTAGATATGAGTATTTTATATGGAGGCATTGGCTCAACCACACTCAGTGCAAGAAAATCTTGTGAGAAGCTCATTGGAAGGTAGTGGATGTCCTAATGCATTTATGGAAAAAGCAAGAAGTATGATGTGATGCATGGGGCCTGTTGGATTCTGTCATCATCAGATTCTCACAGTCTCTTTTAGTAGTCTTCCTTAGTATGCTATTATTTGATATATAACTTATGCTGTTTGCTTAATACTTCCCACATACTTCGCAATAGTTTCAGCTGTCTTAATAAAGTGTATGCTAACCTATTCTTCTACCAGACAGTGGAATGATCAGATGCTGAGTGAAGCTTGCAAACTGGTGCTGGAGGAAATTTCTCTTCCTCCATCAGCTTCAGGTGGAAAAGTAGAGTATAGAAGAACTCTGCTTGTCAGCTTCTTATTCAGATTTTACCTGGAAGTGTTACATGGCTTACATCAGATGGTAAGGACTGGACAAGAACTGCATATCTGCATAAGCAAGACAGGCTGCAAGACATTTCTGGTTTTCTAAATATTTGGAGATAGGAGAGGGGAGAGTAAAAGTGTTATGATCTATTTCAAAATATATTAGGGGAAAACCATTTTGTTTTGTTTTGTTTTTTTTAAATAAGGATCTGACAATACTACTCTGACATCATCTTCCTTTCAGTATCCCTTCAGGTATGCTGAACTCTCACAGGATAAGATGAGTGCTTTGGGAATGCTGCGAAGTGGTGTTCCCCAGGGTGTCCAAGTCTATCAGGTGAGGTTTGTTTGCAGCTGGGATTGCCACAAACTCTGTCTTAATGAATATTGTGCCCTTCTCAGTTTTTATTCCTAAGTCTCTGTTAATTGTACTATGAAGCTGCTGGAACAGTTGACCCTGTGGTAAACATTTTGTTTTACAGATTTTGTAGTCTATCAGGGCACAGATGTAATCCTGGTTCTCAAGGTGTTGTGCAGCATCAGGATATCCTGACAGCTGGAACAGGGGCAAAGCTTTCAACTCTGTGTGAGCTCAGCAGAGAATTTACATTGTTCAGTGGATGTCAGTAAATGAAATTTCAGTAAAAGGAATCACCTGCTGAAGTATCTCTCTGATTGTTCAAGCCTAAGACGTTTATTTGCAAAACTACAATATCAGGGGAAGAGGCAGCTAGGGAATAAAAACTTTGTTCAGAAAATATGAATTTAATTGGAAATTGGGAAAAAAAAAATCAAGGATTTTCACCCGTATCTTTGCTTTGTTGCAGAACTGAGAAATTTTAAAAACCAAGCATTAGCTGCTTAGTGTCAGTTTGCCAGAAAAGGCCTTAACTTCAGACTGTTCTTTTGTTTTTGTTCTTTTCAGACACTGACTTTTTTAAGGAGAAGAATCCTTTTCTGAGTAAAAGCAAACAAAACACAAATGTTGGAAGTTTTTCTCTGTCCCTGACCATAGTTATGTAACTTATCAGAAACTCAACAACTGAGAGCACCAAAGGTGTACTTTCATTAGGTGTGTCTGAAGTGTGCTCAACTCCAGGCTCTTTACAGTGTTAGAAGGATTTGATGGGGATTTAATTAGCAGAAACATGAATGAAACCATTTTTCTTGGTCTGGTTAGCGCTCAGCAGAATACAAATTTACCTATCTCTATAGGAAGATGAGCAAGAAGGATTTAGAATAATCTCTGATTATATATATATATGTGTGTGTGTATGTGTGTATATCCCTAATTTCAGATGTGTTTTCTCCAAAGTAAACAACATGAAACATAATTTGAAGTCTGCAAAGTGTGACTTGCAAAGGGTGCTGTCAGAAAGTGTGGACCCAGCAAATGGGCTAGATAAGGTCCAGAAAGTTTTGAATCTTTTCAGCCATGGATCCTCAGTATGAAGAAGTCTTTGTGTCTTGTTTAGGATTTGGCTTTTTGCTTGTTTAATTGTTGCAGTCTTTCTGCAGAAGACTGATGTTTACTGGAGTTGTGATTGGTATCTAGTGAAATATATTTCTCCAACCTCAATCCAGGCATCATGGTAGTAATGGAGCACAAATTAGCCCTTCATAATACTTCCCAAGAATATTTTCATAAAATCTAAATCGTGTCTGTGTGGATTTTATCATCAGACAATGATCTCAGATAAAATGTGTGATTAAGGCTTTCTATAATTACTGTTCTGACTTGAAGACACGTTCCTGTTTGCAGGATGTTGACCCAGGACAGTCTCCACAAGACCCCGTGGGACGTCCCATCATGCACCAGTCTGGAATTAAGCACACCACTGGTGAAGCAATTTACATTGATGACATTCGTCCAGTGGATGGAGAACTTTCATTGGCTGTGGTCACTAGCATTAAAGCCCATGCAAAGATTAAGTAAGTAAGAAGGAAAGTATATCCATATAAGAAAGATAAGCCCGTGCAAAGATTAAGTAAGAGGAAAAGTATATCCATTTAAGTATGTTAAGCACATTCTCTCTTCCCATTATATGATTTGTCTATATAATGAGGTATGCAATTACGCATAAGTAAGGATGTCCTTACTATGTGCTTCAAGTATTGTCAGATAAGGACATAAGAGTTCATGCTAATGCATTCATCCCTTTTAGTACAGAAAATGTAGGAAGTAAAGTTGTTTAGATTTTGAATGTACTGGAACTAAAATTTAAAGAGGTGTTTTTGTACTGCATGCACAGCAGCTCATGCTTTGTTTTGTTTTTCTCAATATGTGAATCAACACTTCCAGTTTCTTCTCTGTCTAAAGATAATCTCATATGTAAGAGTATGAGGCCTATGGAATAGATTTCTGTCCTGAAAATAATGGAATTAGTTTACACTAAAAATATTTGTACTATGTACTGTACTCATTTATGTGCATGCTCTACTTTCCAGATCAATTGACATTTCAGAAGCCCTTCAGGTGCCAGGAGTGATTAATGTGGTTACAGCAAAAGATGTTCCAGGGAAAAATGGCAATGATGAAGAGGAAGCATTTGCAAAAGACAAGGTATTTCTTGCTCTTAGAGAAGTGCCTGGATGTTTTGCTTCAGTCATATGAAAAATAAAAAATAAGGGCAGTTTTTCATATGCTGAAACATAGAGTATATGCACAGCCAATGTGGCTGTATAGAATGTCCAAGGTCCCGAGCTGTCTGCATCACAAATGATACTGCAGGCTGGCATTTGCAGTGGGAGAGGTGTAATTCCTAGTGTGTCATCCCTCTCTTTCCTTTTTATCTGGATTTCCTTCCTCTCTGAGAAGGAAAGCAGTCTGCCCCATATCAGGCTTTACTTGATACAGTATCTGGCCACTTCAGGATGGCCATAGGGAAAATGTCCGTGATCACTGACAGCAGCAGGTGTTGCGGATGATGAAGGATGCCAATAGTATTTCTCATCTAATGAAGTTAAATCTGCAGTGGAATAGCATTATTAGAGGAACAGAACTTAAATAATGGCACTGGTGCATAACCTCTTCCCACAGAACACTCTTTGTAGAGAGTTGTAACTGTTCCTGTGTTTTTCCATTGGGTAATGTATGATGGTGCATTGCAGGTCATTTGTGTTGGACAGATAATCTGTGCCGTGGTTGCAGAGACATTGACCCAGGCGAAGTGTGGAGCTAAAAAGGTGAAGATAGTGTATGAAGATCTGCAGCCGGTCCTCACCATTAAGGTAACAATGCATCTCCTCTTCCTTCTGTCTGACAGAACGCTTAAGTCACCTTGTTCACTATTCACCTCCTTGTGCAGGTCTTTGTCAGGCTTTGGACTTGTTCAAAATAGTTTTTAAAATATTCAGAAAATGTTAAGGGAAAATTTCTTTGCTTGTAGGAGCCATATTTCTGGCAGGAGTAGGCCAGTATATAATTAAATTAGAGAGCTTGCTTTGCAGAAGTTCTGGAGTCACACATCCTACACCCATGTTCTGAAAATCAGGACTGGTTCATCTTCAGTAGAAAGGAATCTGACTTTGAAATATTTTCAATGACTCTGAGTGCCATTAACAGTCATTAGGTATTTCTAATGTAGGGGAAGGACAGAATGATATGAACTGTGAAAAATAAAAACAGAAGCTCTCTACTGGTGGAATGGGAACAGTTGTCCTGCTCTTTCTAATACTCAGCTGCAACCATCTGTCAATCTGAATAAAGGATCATATTGATAATTGAAGATTTTACCATATAAAAATAATCTGAGTGAATTATTAACATGTTCTTTTTTTCTTGCTGCAGGATGCAATAAAGCATAATTCGTACATTACTGAAGAAAGGAAACTAGAAAAAGGAGACATTGAGAAAGGATTTAAGTCTGCTGATAAAATCATAGAAGGTAGTTTGTGTGTGCGGTGCATCAGGAGAGGGAGGGGAGTTGTGCTGTTCAGAATCTATCACCAGCTGGTGCTTGAACTCAGATTTTTGCTATGTCTCCAGAATTTAATGAGAACAACACGGTTGTTAATTTTTTTCCCCCTTCACCAATAATCAAGATGAAATGAAGATTAACTAAGCCCTGTTAGCGATTTTTCCCTGTGCTTTACCATTCCTTTGAATGCAAGGGTATTCTTATGCCTTCCTGATTTGCTGTAACTTAAGCACTACTACACTGTTCTTATTTCTGTGAGTATACAACACTGACTATTCTCTACCTCTTTGCAACATTCTTCTACAGACTTCAAGATGTTTTCCTGCACTTCTTGTGGCTGAGCCTCCTCAGTTCTGTCAATCTCTCTATACATAAAGTTTATGACCTCTGTGATTATTTTTTTTTCTGCTCTCTTGTGGACTTTTCCCAGCTGTTCCCTATCACTTCATGTCATCCGCTCGAGGAATCAGTTCTGATTCCTACTGCTGCTGCATAAATGTGTTTTAAGCATAACTAATCAGATCTAAGGATGGCATAAAGTAAAGGTCACAACACAAATCTGAAAGAATTGGCTTTTATGTTGTGATGTACTGACAGATTTCTCTTCCTGAAAGGAAAATTGTGCAAAAAGAATGTGTTGGGCAGAAATGGGTAGCAAAAGTGAAACAGGATAAGGGCATATACTGATGGAGAGAGAATAAAAAAGAAAGGAAAAGAGAACTTCTTCTCTCACAGAGTGATTTAGAAGATAATATATTAGAATGCTATTGTAACAGACCAGAGGTAACCTCCTAAGGAAGAAAAAGCATTAGATAGTAAATAGAATCTGATCTTATACCAGAGAAATAAATAAGTACAGCTATATGGGGTGATTGAGCATCTTTCTTCTAAACAAACATATATTTCCAGAAGTGTAAACACGAGATATAAAGAAATGAGAAATAACTGATTATATTTTCTTTCTGTAACAGAACTTTTTTTTCTGGCATATGTATTTATGCAAATATAAATTCCCTCCCAGTTCACTTGAAACCATGTTTAGATTTTTCCTATAATAATACACATACCAGGTGAATTGCATATGGGAGGACAGGAACATTTCTACCTGGAAACAAATAGTGTACTTGTTATTCCAAGAATGGAAGATAAAGAAATGGATGTGTATGTATCAACTCAGCATGCAACAGATGTACAGGTAAAATAAACCTGTTTACCTGTTTCTTACCTTCCTAAATTATTTTGAAACCTAAACGATAAGACCTAGAGTTCCTTTCATTCTCCTGTGCTTCTCTTGAAACTCCTTTATGCTGTTCCCAATTGAGATTAATTGATTTGAATATATTTTTTAATAAAAATAAGAGGCTAATGATGAAACTGAACAAAGATAAAAGTGAGCAGATTGTTATGGGGATAGATAATGTGTACATAAGCTTGTTCACTTCTAATACATAGTTAGCCATGGAAAATAGGTAGTTGTAATGTATTTTGATATGTGATAATTCTCAGTAAAATCACGGATTTTACTTCTGCAGAAATTAGTAGCTTCAGCTTTAAACCTTCAGTCCAACAAGATTATGTGTCACACAAAACGTGTTGGTGGAGCTTTTGGTGGGAAGATAACTAAGCCTTCGTTCTTTGCTGTAATTGCAGCAGTGGCAGCCAACAAGTAAGTTGATCTAACTAAATAAAATGAATGATTTAACTAAATCAGATTAGAAATTATGAGACTGAAATAGAAAGAAACTTTGAACCTGAACCCTGTTTCTGGTGTTGGCTTGAAGACATGTTCTTGCTTATCTTCCATATCAGTAAATCCTGGATAGAAGCTTGAAAATTATCTTGAATTCTGACAATAGAATTCACTTACTGTCCATCTGACAGTGGAAAAAAAGCCTTCATGCAGTTTTTCCTAGGGTTCATCTGCACAAATCCCAACAAACCAGGCCTTTCTCAGGTATAGTGGATTGAATCTCCATTCTATGTATTTAGTGAAAATGTTTTTCATCCTGAAATCCTTGTTAAATCCTAAGGTGTGCTCAAGTCAGCCCTTTGTGCCGCAGGTTTTCACTACTCAAGTGTCCTTGCCATGTCATGTGTGCGTTTCTTGTACCTCCCAGTTTAAAACACTAAAGGAAAGTCACTGGAAAGCTCTTTTTCTCTGCCTTGTCTCTGTAGCAGAAAATCTACATTTTATCTGGTGAATTAGCAGTATTAGTATCAGCAGGCATGGTCAGTAAAATGATGGTCAATAAGAAACTAAAACATAGAATGGATTGTTTTACAGCTGCCACTAGGAGTTTGGCCATATAAATATAATGTCTTTTCAATCTTCATAGATAAACTGTAATTAAAGATGACTTACATTTACTTTAGGTCCGGGCGCCCAGTCCGCTTTGCCCTTGAAAGAGACATGGACATGTTAATCACTGGTGGACGTCACCCTTTCTTTGGAAAATATAAAGTGAGTGACAGGAGAGGTTATGTTTCTCAGTTATTTCAGCTGGGATAAGTTAGCATCCTTTTATTGACTGGCAAAAGGCAGCAAGAAAGAAACTCCACCTCTTCTGAAATACTAACCCAGCACCAACCTTGCCCCAGTCCTAAAAATATCCTGACTAATACTATGCATAAAAACAACAGCTATCCTCCTAATCCTACAGTCCATACAATATCCATTATTAAGCAAAACTATGCATCCCTTTTCATTCAAAACACTGCTAACATCAGCTCTACCACATCCTCATTTGAAAAGTACTTAGATCAGAATTGAATGCAAGCCACTTCTGAGAAATGAAGGCAGCTCTTCAACTCAGTGGAAAGTTCAACTACTAGGAAAACTCTTCCTTTTGGCTTTTTTTTAAATCCTTAACATTAAGAATAATTGAGTAAATGAAACCAGCACTGAAGCCATCTAGGCAACTGCTGTTACCAAGTGCAAAGCCCTTCTTTTAGTTATTGGTGTATAATTTGAGGACACTAAAACCCTCCAGGACAGGGCTTATGAATCAGTATGGTTTGGATAAAGAAGGTCCAAGGAGTTTCTTTCCTACTGATTCTTAGATGAGCTATAGAGCTTAGCTAAGAAGAGGGGGGGTGTATTTTTCTTTTTTTTTATTTCTGAGAGAGATGAGGTGTTATTTTTCATTTTGCTGAAGATATTGCTTTCAAAGATGGTATTGGTTATGTTTAGGCTAGGTTTAGAACTGGCTTGGGAAAAGAAAAGATTTCTTTTGTTGTTTTTTTTGGGTTTTTTTGTTAGATCTTGTATTAACCATGGGAGAAAAATGGAACTGAGACTGAGATGTCAATAGCATACATATTTCATACACTTCTAGGTATCTATTACCTAATTATAATAGAAACTAGGATAAAAAAATATGTGTAGAGGGGTAGGATTTGGGGAAAAGGGGTCAAGCACTTGGTTTCCTGACATAACTTTGATGCATGGACTTTCTAATGTACTTCAGGAAGCAAGATGAGGGCTAGTCCTGATGAGGAAATAGGTGCTGTAGCAAAAATTGATCATCTCTCCTTTTGACTTCTAATTAGCTTTGCTGAAGGAAAAAAGTGTCTCAGTATTTCTAAGACCAGAATTTGGATTAGGATTTGAATAAAATTTGTGATTTCTTGTATTTCCATGAAAGCCTTGAAGTACTAAGATAGCTCTCTTAGAAAAGCAGCATTTGGCTTTTGTTTTATTTAACTTCAGTTACCTTTTAATGAGAATCGCCATTATAGGTTTAGACTTGTATTAGGAAACCCATATATACCCTTTGGGAAGTAAAAGCAAGAGGACTGTGGCTTCTTCTGAATCTTATGTAGGTATTTAAGCTATGATGAGTACTGGGTCATGCCTTATATTTGATGTGCATTTCAAACTTCTGATTATCAAGTCACCCATCAATAATCACTTATGCCATGTAAGACTAGAATAATTATCAATATTGGATGGGATGTGTGCTTTAGATGTAATTTTGAAGCAAACATTGTTTGCTTAAGAGTTAAGGCTATTTTTGCAATTGTGACAGTTGGGATTCACAAAGAAATTGATGAGAGGAATGTTATTTACAAAATAGGCCCCAAGCTTTGTAGAGGTGATGTTGAAAGGGTTCATGTTTCATTTCCACAGGGATCATTCCCAACCAGAGATCTCTGAGATTATGGTTGCTGCTAGAGGGGCTGAAATAGATGTAGAGAGCTTATTTTCTCCTTGAATCATTTAAGAGTCTCAAAGTTAGTGCTAGTAGCAAAAGCTTGTGTTTACTTCAGTTTCAGGCATTGGTTACCTCTAAGTGTCCCATGTAGGGTGTTAGAAGCAGGGCTAAACCATAAGGAAAAGAGATAACCGAGAGCTCATTTTTGTGCTGAATCTTAAATGGAGCCCAGTACTTAGGTATGGCCTTAGAGCAGAAGAAACCATTGATTAATCATATTGAGCCTGGTGCAGTTACTCAGTAACAATCTTGAAGCTAAAACAAATATTGTGATTTATGACCAATATTCTGTTTTTGGATAAAAAAGGAGGAATAATTATACTTCTCACTGAATTTTCAATAGCTTACACAGACACAGTGTTCATACTTTATTTTGATGTAGTTACAACTTCCCTGTTTTTTCCTAAAATTGGGATAACGGGAACAAGTTAGAAGGAGCAAGAATGTTGACCTTTATCTCTCAAATCGTAAATCTAACACTCGCCCTAACTTTTGTTTTACCTAATTGGAAGAACTGCCCAAACTGCATGAAACTAAACTATGTTAAGCAAACAGGACTTGCCCCCATTGATCCCATCTCTTACCTTACCCTTGCAGCTAAGCAGAATTTAACCAGCAACAGCATGCATTTTCCTATTCTTAATCCTGGTGGAACTGCATCACTTTCCATCAGTTAAGAATTTGATCTCTAGTTATTTTAAAGCTTTCTGTAATTTTCCCCATTTAAATATTACAAGATAAACTAAATATAGAACCTATTTTTTTTTTAGAGAAGAAACCAAAACTAAAATTAAATTTAATATATGTTTCTGAACATCTGATATGCCAGATATATGCACTATTTGCTCACTTTATTTTATTGTTTAGGCAATGAAATAATCAGAATGGAAGATGATTACTAAAGAAATTCTTCAGGAAATAGAATAAGCAGAATCATAATTAGTATTTTTTTTTTTTTTTAGTGATCTTGTCATCTTCCTTCTAGTGTCTCTTCAAATGGAAAATGGGGGTGAACAGTTTTTTCAGAATGAATAAGGGATGGTCAGTGGTTAGGTGGGAGAATAGTTTTGTGGGAAACTGAGGCATTCTGATAATTTATAGCTTTTATGTGCTATTTTGGTCTTGGTTTGAGTATTTGGATCCAAATACGTACCATCCTATAAACAGAAATCCACAAAGGTTTTTTTTTCCAATTCAGTGGAAAGAAATCCCATTGCATTCTGTATTCTCAAGCTGTATTTGTTAAGTGGTTAGCTTATTTCTAAAGAGAAGTTTGAAATGCATCAGAGGAAAGACCACTAATGTATTGGTTGCAATATTACAGGTTGGATTCATGAAGGATGGTAGAATAATGGCTGCAGATTTTCAATGCTATATAAATGGTGGCTGTACAAAAGATGAATCTGAGTTGGTAAGTCCTTCTTCACTGATACTACATGCACAGGCTAAACTGGTCACAAAAGAAAATAACAGCTCCTTGTTCGAATTTATTTCTCTTAAGAATATGCCTGTTCTTGCTAAGTGCAACTCTTGCCTGCATAAAGTAGAAATGCAGTCATTAAGGCAGTGCAGTCGTTCTTGGCAGGTGATATTAGACATTGAAAATTTAGATTTCAGAAAATTTGGGACATAAAAAAATCAGATCTGTTGAATGAGGACAGAGATGCAAGAAGTTTTATTAGGTACCCAATTATCATGAAATTATTCATTGATTTTCCCCAAATTGAAAATCTGCGTTTTCCCCCCCACTGATGCTTTTCATGCTATTCTAATTCCTATGACTTAAATGCAGTTTATATACATCAGTGTAAAAACAGCAGAGAACAGTACACCTAAGTATAATACTGTTCCACCTTAAAGCAATTGCATCTTATTGGTCTCTTGAGAGTCTCACCATTTTCTTTAAAGGAAATGGAACCATTTAAATCTCTATAATTTCTTATTACAGGTGATTGAATACATTGTGCTGAAAGTGGACAATGCATATAATATCCCTAATCTCCGAGTCAGGGGCCATGCCTGCAAGACTAATTTGCCTTCTAATACTGCCTTTCGAGGATTTGGGTTTCCTCAGGCAGGTCTGTTTGTGGAGACCTGTATTGTGGCTGTGGCAACCAAGACTGGACTACCACATGAGAAGGTATAACAACTAAGACTGCCAAATAAAATATGGAATAAAAAGAATTCTAGGACCTTGAGTTTTGGAAATTCCTCATTCTTAAGTCAGTTCTTATAGGGCCAGATCTACCAACTTTACCTGAATGGTACATTATCCAAGACCTTTTCTTCCATGGAACAATACTTGATGTAGTAGAGGTAACAGTGGATAAAGCTGGCCCAGGATCTGTTGGAAAATATTTGATGATTGAGATTAGTATGTCCTGCTTCAATCAAAATGATATAATCTCTTGCATTCTGTGACTAGTTCCTTACCAATTTGTGTACATTCAGCTGTCACCTAAATCTCAGCTTCTCAGAACTTCATTCTATCATCTACCACCAGTCTAGTTAGCTGGATCACGTCAGCTAAGTCTCTGGGTTGTGTGGCCACTTCTCTCTTCTCCCCCCTGAAGAGGCAGTTTCCTAACATTTTTCTCTCGTCTGTGAGATTTAGCCTTTCCTTATACATTGCCCAGCCTGGTGCAACCTTTTCCTTCTTCACGTGCACTTGTGTAACAAAACTGTGGTTCATAAATAACTTTTCCTTTCCTAAGATGCTAGCCATCATGTCTTTTCCTTATTTTTTTGAATCTCTTTCCTGTCCCATTTGCTTTATGTCCTTTTTCATGTTCCAGGAGAGGATTCAGGTGTAGCTTTAAAGACCAAACTGCTTTTTAACCTTAACTTCTGCTTTCACTTATCCAACTGCTTATCTCCCAGCCCACACTTGTTCCACACTTTTGATTTCCTCATGTCAGCTTAAAGCAGCTCTAGACAAGGCATAATGGTTTTCTTATGTGGCAGTGATTTCCTTCTTAAAGCAATTGCATGGCATGCCATTATGTATTGTGTAGAATGTCATTACATTATGAAGCCACATTTATTTTCAGCATTTATAAATTTGCTTGCTATTTAGGTTAGGGAAATAAACATGTACAAAGGAGTAAACCGAACAGCCTTCAAAGAAGAATTTGATGCAGAGAATCTGTGGAAATGTTGGAAAGAATGTTTGGTTAAGTCTGACTACCACAGCCGGAACGCAAAGGTGGAAGAGTTTAACAGGAAGAATTACTGGAAAAAGAAAGGCATTGCCATCATTCCCATGAAATTTTCTGTTGGATTTAATGCAACCTATTTCCATCAGGTAACTGTTTCAAAATGGTGCTTTTGTTGTCTGAAGTCTCTATTTTTCTCCACAGGAGAAGTGTAGTCTCGACAGGCAGGCATTTTACTGATAAAAAGATCAGTAAAAGGCATAAATAACAATTACAGTTCACCAAACCATTCAAAGTAAAGGTCAGGCGTTGTGCTGATTGAGGGTCTAGATTTAAATCGTAGAGAATAGGTTTATTATTTGCTGCGATCTCTGGCACTGAGACTGACTGACATGAGCAAAATGTTACCTGATTGCAAATGTCACAAGTTGACACCAAAGAGATGACGTGACCATTATTTCTCAATGTAAAGCTAATAACATGCAAAAAACTCCAAGTTTTGGAGACACTGTATTTCACAATACCTCGCAGGCTCTGCTCTCTAGTTTGCTCTCTAACTGCTGGGAGCTGTTTGCATGCTGCAGAATGCAATTTTGCAGAATTTTTATTTTCTATCCAATTATTCCTTCATAAGAGGGAGTGGCTTGTGTGATTTCTTTCATCACAACTCCTTTGAAAGTTCTTTGTTTCTGTGGATCTGAAGCTTCACATACAACTAGAGCCTATGGAGTATATTTATGTTCTCAGTTTCACAAGAAAACAGATACGATTTTCTGTAATATAAACCAATTACTGTGATCCCTACAGAACTCCTGTTAGTAACTGCTAGCTCATTTAGAACCACCCTGCTCTTGAGTGGTGAAGTTTATTGTCAGACTACTGGAGAATTTATCCTTGTTCTTGGTAATATATTGATTCTTGTGAAATAAATCTTTCTTTGCCTTGTTCTCCTTCTTATGCACCTTCTTGTTTCAGTACAGTAAGAGAATTACTGCATTTCCATATCTTCTCTTTAGGCTGGAGCTCTTGTCCATATCTACTTAGATGGGTCTGTACTAGTCGCTCATGGTGGCATTGAACTTGGACAAGGAATTCACACTAAGATGTTACAGGTGAGTAAGAGTTACCATCTGAGAGTAAATGCAACAAGATAACTGAGCCAAAAAGATGAGTGACACTCAGATGTGCAACAAATTTTGTTTCAGTAAGAAAGCTAGGTTTAACTTCGAGTTGTTGCTTCAGAGTTACTGGTGAAAACAAATCTTAGGGAAAATCTAAGCTATAATCAACATAATCTTTCAAGGTGAGGATAGTAGCTGAACATCTTTGTGATATTCCTCACTGATACCAGGACGGCTAAGGCACAGAGAGAACATGCACAAAGGATTCAGCAGTTTTTTTTGCAGAAGGAGCTAAACTGCTGAGAAACTGTAACTTTGCAACTGATGGCAGCATCAGTCCACTGTTATGCATTCAGGTGCAAACAGTTGTGCACAAAACCATGTGCTAAATAGTTACTTTTGGAGTGAAAATGAGTCCATTCCTTCAAAATGAGTTGAATGACATTGAAATGTTAGAATGCTGAAAAACACTGAAGTGTGAAAACAAACTAGGAAAGCTGTTTGAAACGAGATAGAAAGGAAAATATAAAAAGAAGATTTGAAAATCCATGAGGATTAATAATTTACTGTTAAATCTTGGTTGAAATATATATATATAAATATATAAAACCAAAACCTGATTAAATAGAGCAATTAATTAATGGCAAAATATATGATATTGCATTGTATTATTTTATCCTACCTTCTAGTATCTGAATTAATTAATAAATTATTTGTATTACTGAATAATTGCTAAGGCAGACTTCAGCATTGTCCTCCTTACAGCATCACTTGGAATTAGGTCATTTCTCTGTGCACATATATAGAGAGACATGAATGACAGTGCCTTATTTTCCCTAATTTGAGACTGTCTCTTCAAGTAGGACTGGATATCCTTTTATTTAATTTTATTACAGATTGCCAGCCGTGAACTGAGGATACCACTGTCATATATACACTTCTGTGAAACAAGCTCAACAACCATACCTAATGGCAAATACACAGCGGGATCAGTTGGGACAGAAATCAATGCAAGAGCAGTACAGGTTAGACTTACTACTATTTTTTTCCCATGATCATCCATTCTGTTAAATAATGAATTCCCTTTGACAATTCATAATTTCATCTTTATTTTTGAGCAGCTTTCAAAAAGCATCAGTTCTTTTACCTCAAAGCTTCTGTTGCTAGTTTAATTTGTGTGCACAGTTTAGAGTAAGGCAAATCATAGAACACTGTTAAAAAGAATAGCTTTAAAGCTTTACTGTATCGGATATACAAACTTCAGTTTTTCTCAGGTTTAATCTAGAGAAAATTATGGATTTTCAATTTATTCTGAACATGTGAACAAAAATTAAAGGAAAATTTATCATAGGATACACATTAGACACTTTTAAAATAGAGCCTAAATTAATTTAAATTTAAAGTTAAATTTAAATTAATCACTCTTATCCACTTAGATACTTTGGGATCAATTCTTCTTTCATTTATTTCAGAAGAAATCATTCACACTGGTAGATCTAGTGAATCAAGACAGAAGGGGAATCAGATTCTCTGTCTTCTATTTGTTTATGGTTTCAACAGCTGCCTAGTGTGTGAACAAGTGCTGCTTTGTAGCTGGCTGTTAGTAGAGGAAAGAAATTGTTACTAAATGAAGAGAAATCTGAACTACAGAATGAATTTGCTAATCCAAATCAGTCTTTCTTTGAGCAATTATCAGGTGAGAATAAAAACAGAACATGTTGAAGGAGCATTTAACAAACCAACTTCAGCGGGAAAACACTTGTATTTCTTTGAAAACACCAGATAGATTTGGCTTTCTGGTGCTTAACTTCTTCTCTAGGATGCTTGTCAAATCCTTTGGAAGCGTCTGGACCCTATCCGAAGGAAGAATCCTAAAGGCAAATGGGAAGACTGGGTAAGTGTCTCTCTTTGTTTCTTGCTATTAAATTATGATGAAACCATGGATCCAGTGTGACACCCGCCATTGTTCTGGAGGGAAAAAGGAGCCTCTCTGCAAAGTAAACTGGAAGAGAGAGAATAAACTGTAGAATAGCAAGTGGTGTAACACAATGCCCTAGTAAACCTGGCCAGCTTTAGATTGTCTTTTGCAATATGTCCCTTCCTAAAGACCTGTTCAGGACACTAGGAAATGTAAAGCTTTTATTTAGACTTCCATTTTCTTTAAATGATTTTTTAAAGTTTCATTTTTTTCTTTAAATATGGTAAAGAATATCAGAAAGATTTTTAAAATTTTCTCGCTAATAATAAGTATGCCTTTTGCAGATCAGTGAAGCTCACAAGAATAGCATCAGCCTTTCAGCTACTGGCTATTTCAAGTAAGAAAAGCTGTTAGTCTTTTGACCTCTTGTCATCAGAGATGCCATTTTGGCGATATGTTACAGACAGGATAAAACTGTCCCCAGTCAGCCTTCTCAAGGCCGTATCAGATGCAGCGCACAAATCATGAGGGAGTTGCCTGGGTCAAACTGCATTGTTTACGCAACAGGAAGTCATCTTTTCAACCTTGGCTAGCTAGGCAAGGATATAAAAGATTTGAAGGTGGGTGCACAGGGTCTTCTCCGAGGCCAACTGCAGTAGAAAACAGGAAACCTACAAGGATTTGACTTGATAACCATCATGACTGCAACGTTCTTAATCTCCCAAAGTATTCAATGCAACAAATATTTATCAGTGTACGATACCCCAGATTGTCTTTGACTATGAGGTTCCTATGAAAATAGGTCATTTAGGGAGTTTGCTTCTCATGTGAAGTGGTTCCCATAGTTATCTCAACCAGCATTATTCATGAGAATGAGGACAGTGGAAGGAGGGTGTCTTGATCAAATTCATATTATCTGAGGGATGTTTTTGTTTCCTCTAGAGGTTATGTGACAAACATGAACTGGGAAACAAAGAAAGGCCATGCATTCCCGTATTTTCTCTATGGAGCTGCCTGTTCTGAAGTAGAAATTGACTGCCTTACAGGAGCATACAAGGTAATGGTCGCTATCGTTACATTCACATGACTTTCTTTCCTCTTGCTCTTTTGACTAAGAATAGAGAAACAGCATGACAATAAATGGCTACAGAATCCTTTATGATTTTTTCATCATATTCTTTAATAAAATCTGTTGTTGAAAGAAGAATAAGGAAGTATATGAGAACAGGATAAAATAAAAAAGATCTAATGTTTCCATTATCTGTGATGGCTTTGAAATTCAATTAGACCCTATGGAAATCTTCCTACAAGTTAGCTTTTCAGTAGCACAAGTCCAAATCATTAGTTGCAGCCCATTTTTAACGGAGCTACATTGAAACAGGAAAAGTCACTATCACATAATGTGACTTGTTGCAGTGAGGATTTAGTCCACGTACAGCTTTCAGCAGTTTGGTGTGGAGCCACAGTCCAATGTCTTCATGTCTACTGGGGAACCACATTTGTCTGCAGTAACTCATCTGTGTAGTACCCCAAGTGGAACTAGACACCAAAGTCACTGGAATCTCTGAACCTGGTCAAACTACGCTAGCTAGCATTTAGAAGCAGAAACCACTGGTCTTCATGTAAGAAAGCCCAGTAAGCATTCTTCTCTGTGCCCTTCTCTATATAAGGAACTTCCTCTCAGGTGTCAGTGCTTCCACACTCATGGCAAAGCCTGGAAAATGGCTAAATGTCACTTCAAGCAATTAAGTTTCTATCAGAGAGCAAGCGACAGATTTGTTCTTGAATTCATCATCTTATTCATTATCTTGTTATGCACTGGATGTGCACATTATATTGCAAGTTTCAGGTGGTCATAAAAAATGAATCATAGAGATGAGCTCTCTATCAGCATAGCCTGTCTCAAGTGGCTCTCATGTTTCAGAGTAAATTTGTAATACCACCTGTCATTACATATCTATAATGAGCGAGACTATATATTACTTAGCATCCCTTTCTAGTTGTCTATTTTAAGTATAACTTTTTAACACTTTTATTTGTTTAACAGAACATTAGGACAGACATTGTGATGGATGCCTCTTTTAGCATAAATCCAGCTATAGATATAGGACAGGTATGTACTTTTACAGTTCTGCTTTTTATCAAATATTAGTGCACATCCCTCTTTATATCTAAAAGATTGCTACTGCTGGTTATCTTAGTGTCCACCAAAGCCTAAGACATGCTATGCTTTAGTGATCAAGGAGGCTGGACTAAATAGATGTACTGCTTGTTTTTATTTGCAGCTATAAAAAATACTACGTTAAGTTTTCTATGTCTTATTTTTTCTTATATTTGAGAAGTGTTAAGAGAAGGAGAACCATCAGACCTCATTTGGAAATGTGTTGTAGGATTAGCACCCTGAACCAACTTGTGACTTTTTCCTGATCAGTTTACTGTGCCCTGGAATTATTGACAGATGGCTAAATCTCAGCCACCTGCAGGGTACTGCTGACTTCAGCTTCATGGAAAAAGTTGTGGACATGGAACAGACCTTTCTTGAAAGGTCCCGTATCCATAGCCTTATGGATTCAACTATCTACACCTGCAAATAAACTGAATAAAAAAATATAAACTGAATAACAAAAGCAGTGGCACTAATAGTTTATAAATAAGAAAGTAGTGGTGAACTCAGAAATGTAAAAAAAAATAGTTGTCATTTCTTTGCAGAATCAAAGAAAACACTCCTAAGAATCTGACTTAAATTTAAAAATCCTTTCATATCCTGTTTGTTTATCCTATTACAGGCTCATCCTTACATACGTGTTCTTTGTCTAAATGATTACTCTCATTCTGCACACTCAAGGATTATCAAATAAATAAAATAATTCTTTCCTACCAGTTCAATGCTATGTTCATCTTTCACCAGTATTTATTTATATCAAGTACTGTGATGGCCCAGAGGTTTTCTCAATGGCTGTTCTCTCCTACTTTAGGTTGGCTTTCTTTGTGGCTTTCCCTTCATATCCAATTTATCTGCTGTTTGTGTCTGACATTGTTTCTCTATAATGAATTCCTTAGGTATCCAAAAATCTTTATAAGAAAATAACAGACTGGGCAGACTATTTATGTCACAGACCCTGAGCAAATATCTCCTCATGGCATTCCTGTGAACAATAAGCTTTAAGTCAACAGATTTCACTCAACTCAGTTTTGCCAAAGCAAATCAGAGGTAACTGCACTAGTCACAGTGAATTTAGTCAGGAATAAGGAAGAGAAGAACTTGAGCCAATGAAAATATTTGTGTAAGTCAGATGAGGACAGATTGGTCCTATTTCAGTCTACATTGGCTAACCTCTAATTTTGGAAGGAAAGAATCCAGTTTATGTGTAATCTCACAAGGTCTAATTCTGTGTATGTTTTTGTCTTTTTAAAATGCCTGAATGAGTTGTAGGTGTTTAACTTTTTTTTCTTCATTCAGATTGAAGGGGCCTTCATTCAGGGGGTTGGCCTTTACACATTAGAAGAAATCTACTTTTCCCCAGAAGGAGAGCAGCTCACTCTTAGCCCGGATACATACAAGATCCCTGCGGTTTGTGACATTCCTGAGCAATTCCATGTCTACTTACTGCCAAATTCATGCAACTCAATTGCTATCTATTCTTCCAAGGTAGGTATACCAAACCTTGTTTGCAAGCAAACAAGATGATTCTGCTGCAAAACCTTCAGTGGCTGTATAGTATGGTAGATGCTTTTTTTCCTTGAAGTAATTCCACTTTCAGATTCGGTGCTTAAAGATTATCTAAATGATGAAGCACTGTTGTTCTGAGCTTTTTTATTCATTTTCCTCCTATGATTTTTTGGCATTACAGTAGCACTTAGACACGCTAATCAGAATTGAAACCCTTTTTTGTTCCTTGTTGTTGTGCAATGCATTGAAAGCAAAAGAATCCATCCTGAAGAATTTAAAGTGCCTAACAGGAGAAAGGATGGAAGAAGGAAATACTGTGATCCTTTTTAAAAGTGGAGAAGTCATGAGATGAGAGGTTAAATGAATTTCTAGAATCGTATGGGAAATCTCATAGATATGGGAATATAGCCTAGTTCTTCCATTAGGCATTGCAGAGCACCAGCCTTTGTGTTTTAAGGGAATATTATCCTCTGAGGAAGCATCCAGTTTGTAGCCTCAAAACAAAAGCACTTAAAATAAAAGGGAAAACTGGAGGATGGCTCTGGCCTCTGGAAGACAGGAGTGCCCACTGTTACAGCCTTGAATGTAGAGCAGATATGACAAAGGAATAGGAATTTCCAGAAGAAAGTCCACTCCAGATGCTTATATTCTTACCTGGTATAAACAGGTAAACAAACTGTTCCACATGAAGAAAACATAGAGACAAAGAACACAATATCAGGTGTAGATGGCACAGACTTTATCTGTGCAGGAGGAAGCTAAAGGGGGCTTTATTCCTCAGTATGACCACTTGAATATAGAACAAGTAGTTTATGTGAGCAGTTGTAAGTTATTTCATGGCTTTATAATGTGACAACTGGAGTCACACCATAAAGCTTTTTTGATAGTGTAGCTATCCTGTAAATTTAAAAATGGTCCTCACCAGCCAAATCCTGGACCTCGATGTTTTTCTAAACTGGAAGTTCTCAGAGGTATGAGTAAAGCTGCTGCATGTGTATATGCTGGACTTGACCAAATACAAAGCTAGTGCAAGTCACTGTAGTTTGGATAACTACAGCGAATATACAATGATTCAACTCTGCTGTTAGTTTTTAAGCCCGTCTCTCCAGTTGTCTCTCTCCTCTACCAGGGTGTGGGTGAGGCTGGATTCTTCCTGGGCAGTTCAGTGTTTTTTGCAATACGTGATGCAGTGGCTGCTGCACGGAAAGAAAGAGGACTACCCCTGGACTTCACTCTGAACAGCCCCTTGACCGTTGAGCGGATTCGTATGGCCTGTGATGATATCTTTACTAAGATGGTAACAGTATTTTCATTCCTTTCATGAGCTAGCTACCTCCTCAGTACTCCTCTTTAACCTGGATAGACATAGTGCACATAGTCTGATCAGTGCCAGATCAGTGCCTGATTAGTGCTCTATCCTTCAGCATGCCACACTTAGCAGAGTTATGCATTTTATTTCATCAGTGACACTTTTCTCAGCTGTAATATGAATGGTTGGCCAGAGTTAGCAACACTCCAGAACTCTGAAGCATCTGTCCCTTTTCTGCAGAAGTGAAAACTCCAGTGTAATTAATTTAAGGGCCCTTTAAAATACTTCTGAGATTACTGTCTGAGTTTGTCTTTAGTATCACTTGATTTGCATCTCTATGAGGAAATATGACTATGTCTAAACACATAGTAGGTCTGCTTCACCACTAGTTCAAAGTTCCCAACCTATGCTAGTTCCACACTAAGCCTTGTATCCCAGTTTCCTACCTTTCTTCCTTAAAAAACAGGAAGACAGAAATATGGGCTGATATGCATTCAGGTCTTGTAAAAACATGGAGTTAGAATATAGACTAATTGCACAAGAACACTCCCAAATACAACATTTGAGTTCTAGGTATGGTTTCATGCAAGCAACACCAGTGACACTGGCATGCACAGAATCTGAGGGTGCAGATTTAAAGTGTTCACTGCAGAGGCCTAAACTGTCTAGGTCCCTGTTACATCATATAAGCTCCTTCTCTGTGTCATGATCTGGTAAGTATTCCTGAGACCTATTTTCTGCCTATCTCAAGTACTATAATTTCTTGTAGATTTGATGTCTAGGTTTGAGAACCATAGAGCTTCCCAGTCTGCAACTGCAGCATAAATCCAGCTCTGGCTGTTTTTGACATAATCTTATCTTCTAATATTTTCTCTAATAGAGCAGGCAACCAAAAGGATTGATTGTGTACTTCTATCAAAAATTTCCCTAGTCACTGAAATTATTTGGATAGCCATCTATGCTCTCTGCTTTCTTTCCAGAGTAGAACCTTTAATCCACTCTTCTTGCATCTTGCCCTTTTCTCACTAGGAGTTGGCAGAACAGAGCAGTAGCTGTTGGTGTGCTTCTTTTTGTGAGACTGAGGCAGGAGCCAACTTAAAACCCCCTGTCTGTCCAAGCCAATGATGATCACACAAAAAAAATTATTCACAAAGGAGAAAAGGGAAATGACCACATTGTTTTCTGACTTAATACTTTTAGGCCACTTCAGCAGGTTTTCCAGGTGTTGTGTAATACATTGTCACTTGCCCCAAATTTCTGTTTATTTGTAAGTTGAAGAAAAAAAAAAAGAATAAAAAAAAAAAGAAAGGAATAAAGCATGGGAACAATCATGAGATTAAGGTTTTGCAGCCATTATCATCAGTCTGTGTCCAGTCAGAAAGTGAACTAGACGAATATCTTGCAGACAGGGAAGTAGAGAAATAGCAGACCAGGCTGTGCCAAGATACTTTAATTTAGCATTCAACTTAAATTACTACCCTGTTGAGAACAAGAGCTGCTGTGTTTTGACCCAAGTTATTTTTAATTTATATTTTTAATATCTGAGGAGCCAAAAGTCGTTAGTCTGTGCAGAACATCAGGGACACATTTCAGGTATAAAATCTAAACAGGGCTGCTTTCAGATCTTCTCTGGGTATCTGCTTCTGGCATTCCAGAAATCACACACTATTTCCAATACAGTTTTCAAGTTAAAAAAAGAGGTACCACACACTAAGACAACATTTCAATGGTGGAAGTCTAATCAAAAGCCCCACAAAGCTGGGTTTGAACAACTGTGTTCTAACATAGGCTGCAAATTTCTCTATGAAAAGGGGCAGAGGTTGGCTTAGGCAAACCTGCAGGCTGCTCTCTCTTTCAATGGCAGCCAGCTAGAGACATTCTGACCTCATCCTGACCAGAGGTTGGAACTGTAAATTCCACATCCATTCACTTCTGCTTCCTTCTGCACACGATACACAGTGATCAAGCATTTTGCAATGATAAAATTTCTCCTATTATAGAAATCATAACCACAATCAAGAACCTTTGTCCTCTAGGTGTTGTGCATACACTTGTTAACTACTTAGAGTTTAAATGAAGGTGACCGTTCTATCTTGTCATCAGGAGTTGACATTCTATCTCTGCCCTCTGAAATTTAGGATTTCCTTGCAGACTTCACGGCCTCTAGGACTTAATGCAGTTCCATTAAACCATGTTGTACAACTGAACTTCATATATCAGTTCCTCCTATGAGTAACCTGAAACTTTCAGGCAATGAGCTCACCTGTGTTATAGAGAGATGTCCTTAATTAACTGTTCACAGTTGACTAGAGGCAACTTGGTTGATTTCATAAATCTTTATTATGTGAAAAAGGGTGGATTTGTTCATGCAATGACATTGAAATGGATAAAAAGGAACATGCATTTGTGAATTACATAAGGTTTTCTTTCCACTTAGCAAAATCATGTTTTCTTTACATTCTTTCAGATTCCGAAGGATAAACCTGGAACCTATAAACCGTGGGCCATTGATATATCTTAAGTGTGGAATAACCAGATGGTACTTTCAGGAACTTACTGACTGAAAGAAAGCATTCCTGCAAGAAAGAAGTATAACTGTAATACATACACACACATGTAGTTGTACAACAAGGTATAAGTATCAGCCCTAATGTGCTGCCAACTAAGACACCTCTCATTTGGAAAAATGTATTTCTTTATGAAGTGAGTTGTTCTCCATGCTATAGTGGGATAATTCTGGAGTTACTCCGTAAACTTTGAAGAATTTGCATGCAATTTTGAAAGTATCTGCAATAAATCAGAGTTAGATACTGTACAAGATAGTGACAGACGTGCACCAGTATTGTAGCAGAACCAAGATTCTAAGAGTACATACTACCAAATATTTTCCAGACAATGATATTTACCATGGTAAATAAGTAATAGTCCAGTGTAATTTTCTACTTCCTGACAACCCATCTCACATCTACTCCATACCCATTAGACCTCTCTAAACCACTGTTGACTTTGACCTCTCAGAGCTGAAATAAAACCACTGCTATTTGCCACGCTGTCAGCGTTCACTCCACCTCTCCTTTGCCTTATCCAGTTTTGCTCCCTCATTCCAGTGAAAAGGTGAAGTAGGTCCCAGCTGATGCATTTGTCTGTAGGTGAACTGAGAGCGTGAGGTACAGGAGTTGTTCTATTTCAGATAAAAGGACTGAACTCTTACTGATTCTGAAATATTTGGTTTTGAAATGGGGTCACTCCTTGCAATGATAAGTAGATACTGAGTAGCAGACGTGCAGCAGGTGACTGAGCTGAAAAATAAGGAGGAGCAGGGCTAACAATGGCAATAGAGCAGTTTGTCATCAAAACCAGATGTGTCAGCTCCCTGTTTGACTCAGCTGTGCCAAACATACTAGAAAGGAGGTTTTAAAGTGATGTCGTGACAGCTATATGAATCTTGATGGAGTACATCCTCAGGAGGATAGGAGACTGAAAAGCAAGTTTAAAGGTGCCTCAGAGAAAACAAAGAAAATGGCTGGGCTAAATTGAGTCAGTACAGATATCCATACAAATGAATATTCAGCTTTCACCTTTCATAGTTCAGATAATGAAAGTAGTAGTAGGAACACATTTAACATTGTCATTGTTTACTAAAACACTTGCAGAAACTCAACAAGTTTTATTTCATATCTTGCTGTCAGTTACATAAACACGTCTAAGCTTATTTCATTTATTTTAATGGTGAGTCTGTGGGTTTAAATTAGTTAATATAGAAGAGAGAGTGATCTGCACAGAGCATCAAATAAATCATTTTATCTACGTCTGTAGCAGCACAAGAAGATTATATGCCTTTACAAATAAATTAATATTCCAGGTAATTAGAAACTTGATAGCTTATTTTGGTAAATTTTTCATTTTAATTTTTTTTTCCTTTTATCTTCCCCTGGATAAATTGTCAGGCACTACAGCTCAGCTGGCAATATACTTTGCAGTCTGAGACTTTTATTAATTCCTGCAGTCAGTTCCTTAATATGTCTGTGTTCTTTTCCTTAAAATGAGATTTCCACAGTTGCGATTTATCTTTTTGGCTTTTAGTTGTGATTTAGACAAATGTTATCATTTTAGAATGAGTATCAAAGCAACCCCTGCCTTGGGTTTAATATGAATGAAAAGTACTTGCAGAACTCTGTGTCTGAATGTGATCTTGCTTGGGGTATTTTGGATGATGTATTTTCTAGATTGCATTGGGCTGTTAACTGGAGTTTTCTTATATAAGTCTTCAATAAAAGCATACTTGTAGGGCACTGTCCTGCTATTTGTGATGCTGATCTACAACCGATACTGTTTTGAGGAAAAAAAAAAACAACAAACAACAACAATGAATACAATGTGAGAAATGAAATCTGGCTCTTACAGACAGTAAGAATGGCCAGTGTTTGGTCGTACAATTCAAAGTAAGTGATTTGGCAAGCCTCGTGTTTTCCCATCATTGTAGTTTAACCCAGCAGCAGCTCAGCACCACATGGTCACTCATTCCACACTCCCAGTGGAGTGGGGAAGAGAAATGGGAAAAAAAAATGACAAAGTAGAACATGTGGATTGAGAACTGTTTTCTAAGGTAGAAAAGGAAAAAAAAGGAAAATAAAGTAATGATATATATTTATGCACAATGCAGTTGCACACCACTCACCAACAGATGCCCAGCCAGTCCCCGAGCAGCGACTGCTCCCCTCGTCAATATAAAGCTTTTTTCCATGATGTCATATGGTATGGAATATCCCTTTGTCCAGCTTAGGTCAACTGTCCCCTCCCAGCTCCTTTTCCCCTTCAGCCCCCTCACTGGCGAGACAATATGGAAAGTTGAAACATCCTTGGCTCTGTGCAGCCACTGCTCAGCTACAACTAAAACCTTCGTGTGTTATCAGATTTGTTTTTCTCCCAGAGCAGAAACAAAGCACAACACCAGACACTATGAAGTGAAACAATAACTCTGTCCCAGCTGAAACCAGGACACCCATTAATCTGCTGTGGTAATGAATTTTGTAGTAACAAATGAACTCGGGGGATTTGGTAGTCCTCTTATCCTAAATCTGTAAAGTAGAGTTGTCTCAATTCCAAAGTACAAGACATACTTGAAAGATACTGTTTGCAGAGTATTTGCTCAGGGTGTGTGACAGAAGTCTTGTCTCCATGAGCACCAAGGAGCCCTGGGGCACAAGGGAAGGCAGGGGAACCCCAATAACCCAGCTAGAGAAAGCAGCCCCTCAGCTTTTACCCAGACTCATGCTGGGGCTGTCACAAAGGGGCCATCACCTCTGTGGGCCATGGGGACACTCAGCAGAAGAGGGTGTCCAGAGCACTGTCCAGACTGGGGAGGTGGTGTGTAACTTATGGGATGGAGGGAAAAAATCAATTGGGGTCTACTGTAATTACTGTGATTAGGTGAGAAACCAAAGGCAGGAAAAGGGACAGGTTGTGGTTTTTTTTAGGGAGGAACAAGCATAGGAAGAGTGACAAATAGGAAATCCAGGCTGATTGTTACCACACTTGTCTGGTTGTACCTGTGTCTGATCAGCGTAGCCTGTCCTATCTAATTAAACTCCATGTCTGACCATTTTTCTGGGTAAAGGACTCCGTTCTGCATACTTGTGCGTGTATAAGTGCTAGAAACTGGGCTCTGACCAACAGGAGAGCACGTGGCACCCAAAACTGGAGCAAGAGAGGGTATGTATATCAATGTGATCTCTAGCAAATACCAGGATGTGCTGACCAGCTGACTGAGTGCGACTCAGTATGTGGCTGTATGGGTTGCTGTGTGTGGGGAGGGCTGGGTGCCAGCAACTGGTGTGAGGTTTCAGGCCTTGGGCTCATACCTGCAGATGCCACCAGAGGGGTAGATCTGGAATGGATGAACCAAATGTCTAAGGCCAGCTACCAGAGGGGTCCGTACTGTATACCTTCAGTACATTTGCCCTGTAGAATGAACAAAACATTGATTTTGTTTCTTTCAAGTTTTACCCTCCTTTTTACACGTGTGGGAGTGTAAATAAGTGAATGCCAGGTTGGATGACAGCACAATGCCTGTAGTATAGGTAAACACAGACAGTGGAGGGAAAGCACCCTCTGAATTCAAGATAATCAGTTGTGTAAAGCAGCAGGATCAAGCACAAGTTAACCAGTTGTGTTTGGTGAAAGAATATCATAGATTAAAATTATTCTTTTTCAGGCTTTAAGTGTACTCTCTTGTAAAATATATAATTCTTAAGCTATTCACTAACAAATTCATATATGCTTTCTTAAACATGTATTCCAGAATAAGGCTTTCAGAGGACCAGCCTCCACTGAAAAATAACATATTTGGTGTACTCCTCAGATAGAGAGCAGCAGATGCAGCTCACTTTACTGTCCTTTGGTGCTGTCAGACAGGCATCTCCTGGCATTCTTTTGAATATTTACAGTTTTTACTGGGCCAAACAAGCCATAAGATTCACAGCCAAGGAAATAGTTTGTTGGAGTTAAAAAAATAAAATAAAAGAATAAAAAAAAAGGTTGGGAGCAATGGTTGTGCAGGTGATCCCATTTTCTCTTCATAAAGCATAATGACTTGCTTTGTTTGCACACCTGATAACAGCTCAAGAGTTTTAGCCAAAGGAACATTATGCTTTACACCTGGTGGAAGTTTGGCAGCTGTGTGAGCTCTGGGTTAATAAGTAGTTTGCCCTTTTGGGGAGCAAGGAATTCAGCAGCAATTGCCTCTCCTGTCCTCTCCCAGCACGTTGTGTGTTGTTAGCTAGTCTTGCAGATGTGTCCATCTAAGTGTTGATGTTTAGATGACTTTTAAACTCATACAACTGTACTGGTTCTGTTTATGTTGTCTTCTAATGGAAGTATTGCTCTACAGCCTGCAGACAGGATGAGTGCTATTGCTACAACTGCTGGTAAAAGAAGCTGTGTGTTACCTGAAGGAAGAGAAGGCCTGTGCTCCTGGAACTCAGGAACGTGATTCTACACCAGATGTAAGTAGTTTTTAACCCATAAGTTTGTTTGTCTGTAACCAGAATACATGGAGCCTTTATAACTATAGCTAAGTTTGGAGGAAAAGAAATTGCAATTCTGATATAAATTTAGGAACTAATAGTTTTAAGCTCTTAATAATCAGAGGGTTGTGGGTAGCAGTGCAGTGTCTGGTTGGAGGCCTTCAGCTAGTGGTGATCCCCAGAGGTCGATGCTGGGTCTGGTCTTGTTCAACATTTTCATTGGTGACCTAGATGAAGGGATAGAGTCCATACCGAGCAAGTTTGATGATGATACAAAGCTGGGAGCCTGGCCAGCATGTAGAGGTAGAGAGAGGTGATCTCTACCTTCTATTGTGGTGAGGCCGCATGTAGAATACTTTGTCCAGTTTGGGCTCCCAGCTTCAAAAAGACAGGAATCTCCTTAGAAGGAGTCTAGCAGAGGGCCACACAGATAAATAAGGGCCTGGAGCATCTCCCATGTGAGGGAAGGCTGGGTGCTGTGAGGGACCTGTGACCGTTCAGTCTGGAGAAGAGATGGCTGAGAGGGGATCTCATAACTGTTATGATCTCATAACTGTGGGTGGACTTCTTTTGGTGGTGTGCTGCAGTAGAACAAGGCGTAATAGGTAGAAAATGGAGCACAGAAAGTTTCATGCTGGCATGAGTAGGAACTTTACTGTCAGCATGGTGGAGCACTGGAACAGGCTGCCCAGAGAGGTTGTAGAGTCTCTTTCTCTCAAGATAACTCAGGACCTGTGTGGACACACCTGCCTGTGTGACTTGCATAGGGAACCTGTTTAAGAGCGGGGTTGGACTCCATCTCTAGAGGTCTCTTCCAACCTCTGTGATTCTGTGGGTGGGGAAGAAAGGTAGCATGTATGGACTGATGCTTTCCCTTTCCAAAGCCATGTTTCTGCACAACAGAGCAGTCCTAGGGAAGGTGTCGGTCTGGGCCATCTTCCTTAACTGCTATACTGTTATGGCTTCACGATCCAACCCATCTGCTGTTGCTTATTTAACTCAGAAAGCACCAAAGCAAATAACATTTTTCTAGCGGCCTCGGGAACAGGCTGCACGCTGTTGCCGCTACGTTTGTGCGACGCAGCCGCCGCCATGCCGCTAAGCACAATCCACGGCGTTTCGGGCTCGATGGGAAAGAGGCGTTTACCGACCGGCCGGATGGGGCTCTCGCCGCTCGCTGACGCCCGGCTGCGTTTCGCGGCACTGCTGCAGGGGCCGCTGCAGCGCAGTCGGGGCGGCGATGCCCGCGCTCACACCGTGCCGCCAGGGGCGCTGCCGCCCGCGGACCGTTCCACGCGCAGCGCCGCGCGGGGGGAGGCGGCAGGGGCTGCCGCGTGTGACGCCGTCGAGGGGCACGCGGGCGCGTTCGCCCCCCGGGGGTCCTCGAGCGGACGGCCCCGCGGACGGGTGGGGGGCGCGCCAGGTGCCGGGGGTCCGCAGCGCCGGGGCTGCCGCGGGCGGGCGGTCCCGTGGAGCTCGGCTTCGTCCCCGGCCCGGCGCCCCCTGCGGCGCGACGCGATGGTCTGTCCCGGGCGGGGCGCGCCCTCCCCCTCCTCTCACGTCGGTTCCGCCTGCAGGTTTCTGCCGCCGCCGCTCCTCTTCGTCGCTCGCGTTCGTCTCCGCTCCGGGCCCTCGGGCGATTTCTCTCTACCTTAAAGTCGGTGAGCAGCGGCGGGCGCCGAACCGGGGTGGCGGTGGCGGCCGCGCCGATCGCGACGGGGTGGGGCGTGGGGGATCGCTCCGTGCCCCCAAGCGGGCGGCGGCCGAACGCCACGGGGCCGGCGGGTCGCGCGGCGGGACGGGGCCGCCGTGCGGCGGGGGGAGCGCGGGGCGGAAAATGGATGTGGCGGGAGGAGGAGCGGAGCGGCGGGGCGCGTCGGGAGCGGCGGCGGGGGGAGTCCGGGCGGCTCTGAGGTGCGATGTGCTGTGCTCCCGCGCAGGGCGTCTTTTATGAATCAAAAGCAGCAGAAGCCGACGCTATCGGGGCAGCGCTTCAAGACCAGGAAGAGAGGTAAGGGGCCGCGGCCTGGTGCCGCACTGCCTCCTGCGCGAGAGCGCCGCGAGCGTGGCGCCGGGTGCCGCGAGCGCCGTGTGGGGGAGAGAAGCGGCGAGCGGGGCCGTGGTGGTTGCCGTGACCTTGGCTGGAGGAAAGGGGCCCGTGGGCCGCGCCGCGTGTTTTTGGCCTGAAGCGGCCGCGCGGTGCTCCAAGGTCGCGGGCGGCTCCGGCGCGGCCTGCTGCGGGGCGTGCTTAGAGAACGGCTTCTGAACGGGACGGTGTGGGCCGCTGGGACCCGCGCTGCCCTGCAGTGCCGTAGGGGGATCCGGCTCGAAACAAAGCGGCGAACCGGCCGAGGGCTGCTCGGTGCCCGTATCTTGTCGGGGACGCTGCAGGCAGAGCTAATGGCTGAGGAAACGTGAGAAGCGATGTGGGATGTGGTTATTGGATGTTGAAGAGCTGGCGGGGCGCTCTGTGATTCACATCTGTGGGGGAACCGTTAGGGCACGGCCTGAAGCGGTGATTGAGCACCTGGTGAAGTGGTGTAGCTGGCCCTGGGAGCACAGGTGGAAGTAATGTGGACCCTGGGTCCAGCCCTCCCTAACACCATGTAAGGGCTGACAGTCACAAGGGAAGGATCTCTTCTTGGACATCACCGGCTTCAGAGTGCTCAGGGAGCTCTGATCCTCGGAAAGGGATCGGCAATTCCTTCTTTATTACCAGATTTAAATAACTGCCTTTCTTGAGCAATCTGAAACTGGTTTAAGGCAGCTGTATCTGCTGCCTTCTATCCTTACTCCATCAAACACCCACTGGTGTCCTCGTGGTGTTCTGGGTCACGCTGAGGACAGTGAGGGTGTGGTAGCCACTGAAGATGTAATGGGGGGCACAGAAGTACCTGGTTGCACGTGGAACTGACTTTGTGTCCTTTAACCATTGTTTGGCTTCCAAGCGATCCTGCAGTAACAATGAGTTTCATAGATCTGTACTGGAAAATAACTGCTTCGCCATTTTCAGATCTCCACCCTGCTGTTAGGGCTGTTTTGTAACTTGCACTAGATGTAAGGACACTGACATGCCCCTTAGAAAATCACTTATTCAGGTGTTAACAGTGCTACCTCAGCTGTTGGTGCTTTAGTAAAGGCTCACAGGAGAGCACTTATATTATTTGAAGGCTTTTCTTCCCGTGGCTTGCATAATCTGAGGACAAACTGAATTGAATAGAGGTGAGGACCTCTTCGTGTAAGGCTGCCTATTATTTACATGAATGCTGTGTATTGTGCAGGTTGCTCCAAAAGTAGTGCCTCCTGTGTATTTCCATGTAAGCTACAGCAGATACAAAGAGCACAATAACACTATTTGATAGAGAACGTTCTCACTACAAAATGCTATTTTCCAACACAGTTACCACCATTAGTTATGTTTTTTGTTTTTTTTTGCCAGCAATGAACAAGAACCTGCGTGTTGCACTCATAAAAACCTGCACCAGTGGAGGTGGCTACTGTCACTACTGCTGAAATGCAGCACCTTCCACCCCTCTGTTCTCTCATCCACTGTTTGGTCTCCTTGAATGTTCAGCAAGTATTGATGAATGTCAGTGGGTGCCATTATTTCCACATGGAGGAATTCAGTGGCACATCTTTGCTTCATCCACACTTCCATGTGAGACACCGTTTTGTCAGACTGCCCCACTGCTGCCATCTGTCACATGGCAGCAATACGTGATGGGATACTGGTGGAGAGGTTCAGCCTCTACTGCTGTACCACCAACATATCCACATCTGGTGTTGTGAGACAACGTAATAAAATAGGAGGCATTGCTTTCAGATCAGCTCTTATAACTGAGTGAAAAGGCCATGATCAAATTATTTATCTCAAATGTAAAAATGTGTTCTGCCTTGAAACAATAGAAACGAGTTAATTATTTAACGTGTATTAAAGACCACGAGGTTAGCTCAGATTTCTGCATTTCCCCCAGGCACTCAAAAGGTGGTAGCTTTCTGTTTACCTCCAGCTGAAGAAGAGGTGGTCTAAATTTGGCCAGGGAGCACAGCCTGCGTGTGTTAACAGGATGCAGTGTCTCAGTCAAAGTATTTCATCTGAAACAGTGAGAGTCCCAAAGGACTGAAGTGGAGCTTGAGTAGCAGGGTCAAACATAAGAAGCTGTAGGGTATGCGTTAGGAATTACCTTCTGGTGTGTGGCTAAGCCTTTGTTTTGGGGGAAGAGGTGGTGATCATGTGTGAGCAGGGGTGTAAGAATCAAACTCGGAAATCAAATAGGTTTTCTTAGGTTCAGATCTCCATAAATGACTGTTCTGCTTAGTGAAAGGACTGAGAAAATCATTGAAAGGTAAATAAGGTATGTTTTAGCTTGAGTGTACAGATGATAACACCGAAATTTGTTATTATGGCCATTGAAATTTGTTCTAGGCTACACTGTTATGTCAGTATTTGTGCTAGTGGCCCTGGTTGTCTTGGGAGGCTGGAATGTTCACAGTTCTGTTTCACTTCAGAACTGTCAGTGTGTAGATTTCCTTTTGTTTTTCTAAGACAAAAAGAGAAAAAAAAACTTTTCACGTGTTTGGAGACCAAATAAATGAGTGTGACAACTTTACTTCAACGAACACTTGTCTTTGCAGATGAAAAAGAGAGGTTTGACCCTACCCAGTTCCAGGACTGCATTATTCAAGGTTTAACTGAAACTGGCACTGACTTGGAGGCGGTAGCAAAGTTTCTTGATGCTTCTGGTGCAAAACTTGACTATCGCCGCTATGCAGAAACACTTTTTGACATCCTGGTGGCTGGTGGAATGCTGGGTAAGTACTCTGACGGAGCTGCTGTCTGATTTCATTTACTTGACCTTTGACAGAGACTTGCTGTTTTCTGTCACTATGCAAACTCTCTCAGGAAGCATGCTGGTGTGTAGAACAGGGTTTGTTATCTGCAGCAAACTACGAGTGTCCCAGGCCTAAATTGGCCTGTATACTCTGTATACCACACCATGCTTTTGCTTGAGATAGTTTGCCTTCTTGAAAGCGTAGGCTATACAAATTTAGATTAAGGAGAGGCATACTGGATTTTGAATTTTTTTTTTAAACCAACAGTAGAATTTGTATAATGAAGTGCATTTCTGCTAATGGGAAACAAATGCTCGTTGTCTGTGGTCACAGAGCCAATGGAGTTGCCCTGGAGGATTCTGACTTGATCCTGTGTCTTGTGCACCCTTCCCTGTTGTTCTGCAAAGTAACATTGTTTGCAGAAGAAACTGCTGTGCCTTGGAAGTGCTGTTTTGTTTGTGGCTAGCAGCAGTGAGGGCACGGTGGACTCCTAGTTTTTGTGTGGGAGTGAGAGATGAGGCTGTTGCCAAGTCATCAGAAAACACGTGAACTGAGCAAGTGAAATGTGATGACTGAAGGTATTGTAAACTCATACTTGTGTGTGAAGTGCAAAGAATGGAAGGGATGCTGACCAACCAGGCGAGATGTAGATAAAGATAAATGAAGTTGAAAATGTTAAGAAAGATGCAGTTCTAGATTTAGACTGTATGTTTGACTGCTGTTCAGTGAGAAGGGATTCAAGTGGCAGGGAACTTTTTAAAATAGAGGGTGTGAAAAGGGTGCTCTGTTGTCTATCTAGACAGAAACAGTCCATCTCAGGTTGTGACATTGGTTGCCCTGTATATTGTGGTGGGGATAAGGACTTCACTGCGAAACTTGGCAGTAATAGAAGACTTTCTGTAATATGACGGAATACAAATAACCTAAATGCAGAGGGGAGGAAGAGGGAATATCAGATTCTGGGCTCCAGCCTGACTGCGTGGCAGTCCTGTGGTGGGGCAGCTGGTTTGGGAGGGCACCTCTGCTGCATGTGCGTAGCTCTGCCACTGATATTGGAGAACTGTCAGGTGACTTGCTCAAAGAAATGCCAAAAACAAGGCTTTCAGAATGGTGCAATGTAACAAAGCGTGCTTGCTTATCTGAAGGCTGTGTGTTGGAACAGTGTTATGTAGGCTGTAGTTACTGTGCAATGTTTGTTTTGGCAAAAGCCTCTCTTGCTGGTGTTACAAGAGCTGGTTGCCTGAGAGAATAGGTTTGTCTGCCACATGGAGCTTCACTGCTTGGAAATCTTAATGTACAAATTGGGGGAGATTGCATTCAAGTCTTAAGACCATTGTGTGCTATGTTAGGAAATGTTTTTTCTCAGAATGAGAAAAAATGCATTACTACATTAGTGGTGATAGAAGGGACCTGTGTTCAGCTTGCTCTGTATAACAAGCAGAAGCAGCGGAGTGGATTAATTTTGGTCTTTAATCAGAAACGGACAAAATAAGAACACGCCACCTCTTAAAATTCTTAACGCTAGTGCTTGTTTTCATCTTGAAGTCTTGTTTCTGTCTACTGCAAAACAAAAGGATCTCCCTTCTATGTAGGATGGTATAGAATTGGATCACAGGTTTTTCTGATGCTGAAGTTGGCGACTGGAATTCAGTTATGAATCAGACTGGGTGCCAGTCAAATGTCTGTATTAAACTGAAGACGTATGTTGAAGAAGAATCTTCTGGTTTTTTGTTTTTTTGGGGTTTTTTTTTTTTTTTTTTTTTAGTCTGAAAAGCTGAAATGAGCTTCACAGGCTCAAGTTTTCAGCTCATCTCAAAGGCATTGAATTGTGAATATGCATTTCTAGGTGTTTAATCTCCTGTGGTGACTTGTTTGGTTATTTAAGACTGATGTAGAAAGCAGCATGATGGCAGAGGATAGTAAGAAGTTGTTATGATTAAGCAGTTTCAGTGTTTTCCTTTAAGAGAAGAAGAGCGTGTATAATTATATCAACTTGCTTGGACATGAACAAGATGTGTTGTCGGTCATTTTAGGTGTAGAGAGTTGGAATATTTAGGTGTTCCTATCTAAGTTACCGATCTAAAGTTTAGTGCATCTACAGCAACAGAGCACATAGAAATGCAGGGTGTCTATCTAGTGATGTGGTTCTTCTCTTTACCATGAAAAGACAACATATTTTTCATGTTATGAGTATTTGATTTTTACTGAGAAGTCACAGCACTAATACTGAAACCCTTCCTTAGCCCCAGGTGGTACCCTGGCAGATGACATGACACGCACAGATGTCTGTGTATTTGCAGCACAGGAAGACCTAGAAACCATGCAAGCATTTGCTCAGGTGAGTCCTGAGATGAATATAATTTTACTTAAACCATTCTGTAGTCAAAAATGAAATGTTTGTGTATGTTTGCGGGCTGGTTGGGCCCGGTTCCGTGATGAGTGGGACAGAGGGATCTGCGGATCCACACCTCTGGAAAAAAAAACAGGGGACCCCAAAAGAATTGAAAACAACGGCACCGATCTGAGGAGAAACAAACTAATTTACTAAGTATATTATCGGAATGCAAGATAACACACTATAATACAGTATGATCAGAATTGAAGCTAATAAATCAAATATAATGAGAGAGAGAATGTCCGAAAGGTGGATAGGCCTCACCACAATGCTGAGGTGAGATGCGCAGTCCAGTTGAGCACCAGGGAGACCGGAGCAGCGCCCATGAAAAAGAGCGCATCAGGTGACCTTGCAGGAGTTAAACCTCTTCTCCCTGACCGCAAGGTCCCCTGGGGAATGTAGTTCTCCTTCTCTTCAGGGCAGGTACCCAGGACTTGAGCGTTAACAGTTAAAGTCCCAGTGCCCCACATGATGTTATGATGTGGAATACCGAAAGCCAAAAATGACAAAGCCATGACATTCCACCCCTTATTCTACATCACTACATCATGCTTAAAATATATATGAACAAACAGTAATTACCAAACATTAAACACATGCACACACAAACGTATGTATATATGTATATATGTATATATATGTATGTATGGAATTACTGACTGCACTCCCCCAACATCAAATTCCCTTGTGGTACACATTGAACATCAACATTTTTCTGCATCACCCTGGGCAAAAACTGTACCATGGAGAGGTTTTCCCTTTCCAGAAGCTGGAAGAACCCAAACTGCCTTTCCTAACATGCTCTTTACATGTACAACGGGGACTTCATCTCCCTCTACGGCATGTAGGGAACTGGATTGGTTAGGACTGTCACAATTGATAGATCCTCTGGTATTGACTAACCAGGTGGCTTCTGCCAAATGCTTCTCCCAGTGCTTAAATGTTCC